ACTGAGCAAGAAGAATAAATCTGAGGGTATAACTCGGGCTCCAGATAATATTACAAAGCTATACTAATGAAAACAGCTTGGTATGGCACAGAAACAGACCTATGGATTAATGGAACAGAGTAGAGAGCCCAGAAATAAACCCAAGTATCTACAGTCAATTAATTTTCAACAAAGGAGGCAAGAATATACAATGGAGAAAAGACAGTCTCTTTAGCAACTGGCACTGGGAAAACTGGATGGCTACATGTAAAGCAATGAAGTTAGACCATGGTCTCTCACTGCACATGAAAATAAACTCAAAATGGCATAAAGACAAGACACCGGAAAATTCCTGAAAGAGAATATAGCCCAAACATTCTCTGACATAAATCGTACTGATGTTTTCTTAGTCTCCCAAGGCAATAGAAATAAAAGCAAAAATGAACGAATGGGATCTAATCAAACTCATAAGCTTTTGCACAGCGAAGGAAACCACAATGAAAAGATAACCTATGGAATGGGAGAAAATATTTGCAAATGATGCAGTTGACAAGGGCTTAATTTCCAAAATATAAAAATGGCTTGTATAACTCAGTAACAGAAAAACAAACAAGTCAAACAGCGTGCAGAAGACCTAAATAGACATTTTGCCAAAGGAAGCCATAGGGATGGCCAAGTGTTAGTTGCTCAGTTGTGTCTGACTCTTTGTGACCCCTTGGACTGCAGCACACCAGGTTCCTCTGTCCATGGGATTTTCCAGGCTAGAATACTGGAGTGGGTAGCCATTCCCTTGTCCAGGGAATCTGCCTGACCCAGGGATCGAACCCAGGTCTTCTGCACTGCAGGCAGATTCTTTACCATCTGCGCCACCAGGGAAGCCCAGGGATGGCCAATGGGCATGTGAAAGGATGCTCAGCATCACTAATTGTTAGAGAAATGCAGATCAGAACTACAGGGAAGTATCACTTCACACTGGTCAGTATGGCCATCACTGAAAAGTCTACAGATAACAAGTGATGGAGAGGATGTAGAGAAAAGGGCACCCTTCCACACTGTTGGAGGGAACGTCAATTGGTACAACCACTATGGAGAAAACTATGGAGGTTCCTTAAAAAACTAAGAACTAGCATATGATCCAGCAATCCCTGGGTATATCCCTGGGAGAAAACTGTAATTCGGAAAGATTCTGGCACCCTAGTGTTCATAGAATACTTAGAATAGCCAGGAAGTGGACTCCTTGAGAGGCTAGACCAGAGGCAGGTGGCCACATCAGGCCTTGAGAAAGACCAGAGTGGTTTCCGTCATTTGCACCATCTGATGCTGCCAGCTTTGTGGGAACCCTGTATTCTGCCGTGATCTGGCTGCAGTTTGGGGACTGTTCTCGAGAACTTCCTTGAACGTGAGTGGGTATTGACCAGCGGAGGGGGCTCCTGCCAGTGGGCAGATGGTTTTCAGGCCCCTGGGGGCACCTCAGCAGCTCACAAAAGTGGGTTTCCACATGCTTCTTCCTCTTTGTCCTTCCTCTTTTGATACCATCTGCGCCACCAGGGAAGCCCAGGGATGGCCAATGGGCATGTGAAAGGCTGCTCAGCATCATTAATTGTTAGAGAAATGCAGATCAGAACTACAGGGAAGTATCACTTCACACTGGTCAGTATGGCCATCACTGAAAAGTCCACAGATAACAAGTGATAGAGAGGGTGTAGAGAAAAGGGCACCCTTCCACACTGTTGGAGGGAATGTCAATTGGTACAACCACTATGGAAAAAACTATGGAGGTTCCTTAAAAAACTAAGAACTAGCATGTGATCCAGCAATCCCTGGGTATATCCCTGGGAGAAAACTGTAATTCGGAAAGATTCTGGCACCCTAGTGTTCATAGAAGGACTACTTAGAATAGCCAGGAAGTGGACTCCTTGAGAGGCCAGACCAGAGGCAGGTGGCCACATCAGGCCTTGAGAAAGACCAGAGTGGTTTCCGTCATTTGCGCCATCTGATGCTGCCAGCCTTGTGGGAACCCTGTATTCTGCCATGATCTGGCTGCAATTTGGGGACTGTTCTCGAGAACTTCCTTGAACATGAGTGGGTATTGACCAGCGGAGGGGGCTCCTGCCAGTGGGCAGATGGTTTTCAGGCCCCTGGGGGCACCTCAGCTGCTCACAAAAGTGGGTTTCCACATGCTTCTTCCTCTTTGTCCTTCCTCTTTTGCTCTGTGACCAGCCGCTACCCACATATCAGACTGACCCCTGACCCTGCCCGTGCAGGCCATCAGGCAGGAAGCCCCAAGTTAAACATGCTGAGCCACCTGAGACGTCTTGTAAGGTAAAGGAGTGTTTGCGGGAAAAGAAGGTACCGTGCTGTGTTTGGGGGGAAATATGCCCTGGTTATGGATTCCTGGCATTTTAAGGGCAAATTGGAAATCCCATCTCTCTACCTTGTTTCCTTGTAACTAGTTGACTTCCGTGGTAGAATTTTCAACTCTGTCCTCTACTCTACTCATGAAATTATGTGCTCAGCAAATCTGCATTTTCATTTGGACTTTGCATTGTCTGCTGTTCATCCTTTAATAGCTCCTGGGGATGGGAATGGGGCAGAGGGCATGTGGAATCAGCATTCAGGAAGTATGCCAGCCTGCATACTTCCCCAAAATGGTACCACAGATGGTCTTGGCCAGGAGTGGGATACAGGAAGGATGTATTGGGTTGACTTAATTGGGGATGGAGGGGTGGGAGGGAAGAGGAACTATTATTGAGTGGCACACACCAGGTGTATCTCACTTTATACTCCCCCCAAAACTATATGGGGTGGGTATCTTAATTTCCCTTTTATGGGTCAGGAGTCTGAGACCCCAGAATGAACATGTTCAGATTGCCCACAGATATATAGGTAGTGGGCCTGGGCATGCTGCCTGCTATGGAGGTGAACCTCAAGGTTGAACCAGAAATAGAAGTGACCAGATGTGATAAAGGTTTTGTGGAGAGCAGGAGGGCTCCTCTCCATGATGTTAGGTGGTGCCTCAGTCCCCGAGAGAAATGTGAGAAATGTGGTGTTATGCAGAATTTAGCAGGTGGAGAAGGATAGAGGTCGTGTGAGACGAGGCTGCCCTGGAGGCGTTCACAGTCCTGTGAGGGAGGCAGAATAGAAGTGGCCACGTGAAAACTGGCTTTCTTTAGATGGCAGTACATTAAAAAAACTAAGACCATGGCATCTGGTCCCATTACTTCATGGCAAATAGATGGGGAAATGATGGAAACAGTGACAGACTATTTTCTTAGGCTCCGAAATCACTGTGGAGAGTGACTGCAGCCATGAAATTAAAAGACACTTGCACCTTGGAAGAAAAGCTGTGACTAATTTAGTATATTAAAAAGCAGAAACATCACTTTGCTGACAAAGGTTTGTATAGTCAAAGATGTGGTTTTATCAATAGTCACGTATGGATGTGAGAGTTGGACCGTAAAGAAAGCTAAGGGCTGAAGAATTGATGCTTTTGAACTGTGGTGTTGGAGAAGATTCTTGAGGGTCTCTTGGACACAAGGAGATCGAAGCAGTCAATCTTAAAGGAAATCAACCCTGAATATTCATTGGAAGGACTGATGCTGAAGCTGAAACTCCAGTACTTTGGCCACCTGATGTGAAGAGTGGACTCATTGGAAAAGACCCTGATGCTGGGAAAGATTGAAGGCAAGAGCAGAAGAGGGCAACAGAGGCTGAGATGGTTGGATGGCATCACTGACTCAATGGACATGAATTTGAGAAAACTCTGAGAGATAGTGAAGGACAGGGAAGCCTGGCGTGTTGCAGTCCATGGAGTCACAAAGAGTTGGATACAACTGAGCTGTTGAACAACAACAACATTTCTTTCACAAATGGAAGCGGACGGCTGCTCGGGAAAGGTGAAATGCAGAGTTCACGACAGTGTCCTAAATCCAGAGCCATGCACACGCGTGGCTTGTTAAAAGCAACATCGTTCTGGGTGAGGAAACATTTCAAGGCTCAAACCCATCCCATAATAAAGAGGACTGTACTGCATGTTGCCTTTAGAGCACAAAGTCAGGGAATTCCCTGACTGTGCAGTGGTTAGGGCTCTGTGCTTCCACTACGAGAGCCCGGGTTCTATCCCTGGTCAGGGAACTAAGATTCTGCAAGCCACATGGTGTGACCAAAAAAACAAAATGGAAAAAAAATTTTTTTTTCTAATCACAAAGTCAGTCTCTGTATATGGTTTAGGGGGCCATTAGCTGCTGCTGCTGCTACTGCTAAGTCGCTTCAGCCGTGTCCGACTCTGTGCGACCCCATAGATGGCAGCCCACCAGGCTCCCCCATCCCTGGGATTCTCCAGGCAAGAATACTGGAGTGGNTCAGTAGGGTGTTCAACTTGGTGCTCTGTGATGACCTAGAGGGGTGGGATGGGAAGGTTGGAGGGAGGTCCAAAAGGGAGGGGACAGTGGATCAGATGGTAAGGAATTCACCTGCAGAGTGGGAGACTGGGGTTCAATCCCTGGGTCGGGAAGATTCTTTGGGGGAGGGCATGGCAACCCACTTTAGCACTCTTGCCTGGGAAATCCCATGAACAGAGGAGCCTGGAAAGGTACCATCCATAGGGTCACAAAGAGTCAGACATGACTGTAGCAACTTAAGTATGCACACATAGCTGATTCACTTCATTGTACAGCAGAAATCAACACAAGCTCGTAAAGCAATTATCCTCCAATCAAAAAGTATGAATCATCACAAGTGCCAGTGGGAAAGAATATAAGAAAGAATGGTATATATAACTGATGGAGAAGGGCATGGCAGCCCACTCCAGTGTTCTTGCCCGGAGAATCCCATGGACAGAGGAGTCCGGTGGGTGCAGTCCACAGGGTCACAGAGAGCTGGACTCGGCTGAAGTGACTCAGCACGCAGGCACATGTAACTGAATCACTTCACTATGTAGCAGAAATTAACACCACTTTGTAAATCAAGTTTACTCCATAAATTTAAAAAAAAAAATGCCTTGGGCCCAAAGCTACTCACTAATGCGGCGCTGTGTCCTGACAGGTGGTGGCAATGGCTGAAGATGGGAATGAAGAGATCATGTTCATCTGTAAGTGTTTCAGGGCCGGTGGCCCGCCCTCACCTGCAGGTAGAGCCACGTGCACGTCTGGTCTTTGTGTAGAGAAAAGCTGTCTCCTTTTAGATGGGATTTTACCTGTTACTGAGAACCATGGTGTATGACATGAAATGTGCTACTGGGTCCGATTTTCAAAGAATCTTCTTTCCCAGAACTCCCGCCAAAGGGCACTGGGGCAGGGGTGGCAGCAGACTCAGAAAGGTAACCCCGGGTTTTAGAAGGGTTTCTGACATGTTAGATTTATGAGAAACAGGTTATGTTGGTGAGTTTTCGTTTCCTCTCATTTACGGAGACCCTGTCCTGCATCCCCGTAGAGCTGACTCGGTCAGCCTTGCAGCGTGCCAAGGAGCTGGGTTTTTCTCCTGGGGGGCACGTGGCCTTTGTTGCTGTCTTTCTGCACTTGTGGGGAGCGCTCTGGGTCACCCCCAGGCTGCAGGATGCTCTGTGGGTGTCTCCCTCCCCTCTTGATGCCCCCCCTGATGCCGGGATGTGTGTTTGCAGGGTGCGAGGACTGCAGCCAGTACCACGACTCTGAATGTCCTGAGCTGGGCCCGGTGGTCATGGTCAAAGACTCCTTCGTGTTAAGCAGGGCCAGGTGAGTGACCCCCCCCTCCAGTTGTCTCTACCATCCTACCGGTCAAAGGGGGTTGTCTGTCTGTCACCTGTGGCGAGAGCCTGGCCACCTCGGTGTCTGCACAAAGGGAGGAGACAGCCAATGAGGAGAGGGACTGTCCTCTCATTCGATGCCATCAGAGATCTCCATCCACTGCGAGCTGGTAACCTGCCCCTGGGATGAGCCAGGGCGTGTCGAGGAGGCGTCTCGGTCAATGCCTTTTATCTAGTACCTGGTTCCACTGGGGTGCTGAATTGGTTTATACATGAAGTGACGATGGCTGAGGTTGTAGGTCTGCCCATTCAGTCTCCCCTGTGGTTCGCACCCAGGCTTGCTGTCTGATGCATGCCTGGTTGGGGGCTGGAGCCGTGGGCAGTGAGCGCAGGTGGCCAGGCAGAGGGGGAATGGCTGCTGAACGAGCACCTAGATCTGGTGCAGGGGCTCCGAGGCTCTGCCAGTCCATGTTTCCCCGGGGGCGGGGGACTGTGTCCCCTTGGGGGGCCCCCAGGTCGCAGCCCTGTTTGCCATGTAGTAGCTGTTTGGACCTGGACAAGATGTGCCCCTCACTGCACCTCGGTTGCCTCATCTGTAAAGAGGAGAGGACGGCCCCTCGGACGGCACTCACGCTATCATCTTATCACTGCTGTTTGTAGAAGCTTCCACTGGTTTGACTGTGACTTACCTGTGCAGAGCAGAGATTCCTATTTTGGCCCGGAGCACAGATCTGACCAGCTCTCTTCCAGACCCTTCAGTGGTTGCCCGTTGCCCACAAAGCTCCAGTGGGAGCCATTGGTCCTTCCCGGATGGGTTCCTCGTCTCAGCTGGCCTCCTGCTGCTCCTGTGAGGGGTCCAGGTCCCACCCTAGACGTGGGTCAGGCATGCCCTGGTCTTGGCTTACGCTAGGTCCCTGCCAACGTGCCTCCCTTCCTCTCCCCACCGGGATACATGTGTCCTCTCCTTAACTTTGCCTGAGTTGACTTAAAAAGGCCACATTCATGAAGAACCCAGCCCAGTACAGCCTTTCGGGAAACCCTCTTCTGGTCTTCGAAATGCACTCTCTTTGGCACTTCTTGTCATTCCCGTGGTCCTTTCCACCTCTTCATGGTCTCTCTCTGGTCCTCCCTCCCTCTCTATGGGCCCATCAAAGAGGGGCCCACACTTAGGGTGTGTATGTGTGTGTACGTGTACGTGTGCACATGAGCATTGGCTCTGTCTCCTGGGTGGGGAGTATAAACGCATCCTCAAGTCAGTGCCCCTCCATCACCTGCTTTGGGGCCAGCAGGAGCGACCTTCTCCATCGTCCTAACCCTCTGCCCCTGGTGAGGGTGGCACCCTTGCCAGTGGGCACTCTGGGCCGAGACTCTCTTGCTTTGTTCCATCTCTAGGTCATCCCTTCCCTCCAACCTGGAGATCAGACGCCTGGAAGACGGAGCTGAGGGGGTGTTTGCCGTGACCCAGCTCGTCAAGCGCACGCAGTTCGGCCCATTTGAGTCGCGACGCGTCGCCAAATGGGAGAAGGAATCCGCGTTTCCACTGAAGGTACACGCTGGGCCGGTGGGGGCTGTGGCATGCTTATTTGTGACCTTCCTTACGTGCAGGTGGGCAAGGGCGATGCTCACTGAAGAGTTCAGTGATTTATAAACATCTCAGAGACAGCTCTTGGTGTTGTAGTTCTGCTGAATTTCCAAGACAGTGTTTCTCTTTTTTTTTTTAAAGTTTATATTACAAGAGCATGAGTTAAGTTAGTATTTTGCAAAACTCAGAAAAGTGTATTTAAAACATATGCAAGAGTGGACCACACCCCCCACACCCCCCACCCCGCCCCCGCCCAGTGCAGGCTGTAGGAGGGGCTTTCTGTGGAATTTGCAGGACCACATGGGGATTTCACACCTGTGCGGAGTGTAGGGAACTTTGCAAGGCTCTTTCGAAAGGAAAATGTTTTGTGTTGATGAGAGACCAGTGCAAAATTTGGCAGCTCTGAAAAGCACATCAGACGGGGAGGTGATGGCTTCTATGTGACATGGAGAAAAAGGAAATGGAAGAAAATCACAGGGAGGACTTGATCACTTAAAGTGAGACCCCCAGAGGTGGGGTTGTGAGTATGGGTCACAGCTCTGGCCCCATGCCCAGAGTGCTCAGCCGCAGCCAGCCTTCAGAAACACCCATGAAATAAACTGAGAGGAACAGGCGCTGGTCGGGCAGCAGAGAGCCCCAGACGCAAGCTTCCCTGGAGACCCTTAGCAGAGATCCAAGTGTTTTGGGACAGAGATGATCCAGCTGACTGTGGGGACTCGACAGTCCTCGGAGAACTGAGTTTATAAGGCAGATTTCAACATGGCGGAGAGAAAGGAAAGGGACTTGATTTGTTTACAAAGAAAGGAAAGAAAGAAAGGCTGTTTTATGTGCAGGAGTGATGTCAAGAGACCCGGGGCTGATGGGCATAATAGCTGTGGGCCCATGGTTGGCCAAGGCCTCTTTGAAAAAGCTGTTTGTGCCTGTTTCGGTTTCTTTCGGTGACTCAAGATTCCAAGGGTCTCTGTCTGGTATTGAGCTGTTCCAGTGCAGGCTCAGGGTTGGGCACCTGGGTGCTGGGAGCACCTTTATGTCCACAGAAGGAGGCCAAGGCCAACTGGGAGCACCCCCTATACCGACTGGGGGGCATCAGGCACCTGGCAGCCCCCTTCACCTCCTCCTCTTGCTTCCGAGGGCTCCAGCCTCAGAGGGGGGCCTCTAGCTCTTAGCAGTGGGGAGCCCCTACAGGAAAAGCCAGGAGAAGAAGGGAGATTTCTTTCTCTAATGAGGAAGCAACAGTTGCATCAGAAAATAGGGGACGGGAGCCCCCTATTCCATGTGGTTACTTTGAGCTTCAAAATATTCAAGCTTCTCCCCCTTGTCCCTGCCTGCATTCCATCCATAAAGTGGTGGTGCTGCTTTTTAGATGAAGGCACAGCTTATAAAGATCAAGGAATGGGACTTCCATGGTCTAGGCTTAAGACTCCACACTTCCACTGAAGGGTGCACAGATCCAGTCCCTGGATCTGGGAATGAAGATCCTGCATGCCACCTGGAATGGCCAAAAAGTCAATAAATAAACAAATAACTAAAATTTAAAAAAAAAGAATGAGGAACTTTGCCAAAGTCATTGAACATACTTGCAACAGAACTGGGAGAAGAACTCAGGTGTCCTTATACACCTCGCCCAGGTATAGAGTCCAGGTGTTCCAGTGACACGCTGGGCCAGGAGTAGAACTCGGGTGTCTTCTTGCCCACTTGAAAACTGATTAGAACTGAAAGTCCATGTTCTACAGCTGGACCACAGGTAGACCTTAGGTGTCCTCATTCCCAACAGGACCATGCATAGAACTCAGGGCTCCTGAGAACTCCTGACCTGGGAGTAGAGCTCAGCCTTTCTCGTGCATCCTGGGACAGGAGCAGAGCACACGTGACTAGGTACCCACCTGGACCACAGGTGGAGATGAGGCGTCCCAGTACCCACCTGAGAACTCAGGTCTCCCAGTGACACCTGACCTTTAGCTGTGCCTCCTGCTTCCCTTTTGCCTGTGACCAGCCTGACCTGTTTTGGGGTCTTCGGCTGCCCTCCCATCAATGTAGAACAGGTCCGTACAGTGCCCTGTTTGGCCACTGATGTGGCAGTGTCTAGACTGGTCACTCAGCAGCCCCTTGCACACACACAGACACGTGTGCATGCTGACACACACACCAGTGGATAACCAGCCCCCACCCGGCCCTGTGGTGGGCTGCGCTCCCCCCCAAACCCCAGGTGTTCCAGAAGGATGGGCACCCCGTGTGCTTCGACACCTCCAACGAGGACGACTGCAACTGGATGATGCTGGTGCGGCCGGCAGCGGAGCCGGGACACCAGAACCTGACGGCCTTCCAGCATGGCAGCGACGTGTACTTCACCACCTCCCGGGACATCCCCCCGGGCACCGAGCTGCGTGTGTGGTATGCAGCCTTCTACGCCAAGAGGATGGACAAGCCCATGCTGAGGCAGGCCTGCCCTGGGCTCCAGGGTATGTGGTGGCCCCCTGCCCCCAGCCTGCCCACTGTCCTGCTGCCCCTGCCTCGCACAGCAGTCTGATGTCAGCGAGAGGCGTCTGGCTGGGCAGGCCTGCAGGGGTGGGGAATGTGGATGGGTTGGTTGGTCTGCCTGTTGATTGCCTGGCCTGAGAGGCTGTTAGAAGAGCTCGCCCCAGGCCAGACTTGCTGGCGGCAACTCCATTCCCAGCTCGGTCCTCTGGCTTCCCACATCACTCACCTGCCCATCTTCTGGGGTCAGGTTATGGTCCCAGGGTTTGGGCAGAGGGAATGGAGCACAGAGACGTTAAGAAACCTGCCTTGAGTCACAGAGCAGAGAGTGAAGGAATCAGGATTTGAACCTGGATTCTGGCTCTAGCAGCCTTCTCCTAGAGGTTGGGGTGTGTATGTGTGTGTGTGTGTCTGTGTGTGTGTGTGTGTGTATGCACGTCCATGCATGTGTATACGCATATGTATGTGTGTGTGGGGGGTCAGAGAAAGACCTAGTGGGCACCTGTGATTTCACCTGCATTGTACTGGAGAAGCAAATCAGATGCAGGGCTTGCCACCCCAAACTGGGGCATCTGACCTTGTGAGGGGCTGGCGAACTTCAGTCTTTTCCACCCCCATTGTGGGTCCTTTGGGTGCGTGTCCTCCCCACCTGACCTTGTGAATGGCTGTTACACGTGGTGCTGTGACTTGGGTGAATGGGATTTCACATACCCCACCTGGGACTGCCTGGGGCAGACACGCCTGTGGCTGCCTCTAAGATGAATAATTCCTCTGGGGAGAAGCAGACACTGACTTTCCTCCTGACCCCAAACCACAGGATTCTGACAAGGAAATGATCTCTTTCATTTTGAGCACTGTGGGTTACAGATGGCTTGGTAGGGCAAGAGGGGTAGCAAGTTTGGGGGGCTCTGGGCTATCCCATGACCCCTGCATCATAGCCACTCCAAGTGGGCTTGCCCAGCAGTATCAAGGAGGGAGGGGTCCGTGAGGTGGCCCACACGGTTTGTCAGAGGACCACAGGTCAGGGCTTAAATGAGAGAAATGTACAGTCTCACAGTCTGGAAGCCTGAAGTCCAGGATCCAGGTGTGGTAGGACTGGTTCCTCCAGAGGTCAGGAGAGAGGGTCCTTTCCTGGCCCCTGTTCCAGCTCTGGTGTTGCTGATGGCCCTTGGCGATCCTTGGCTGGTCGCTGCATCACCTCGTCCCTGCCGGGATCTCTCCCTGGGTCTCTGGGTCCTCTCCCTATGAGGACACCAGTCACTGGGTTTAGGACCACCCAAATCCAGTCTCACCTGCCTTGCCTTGGTTACTTCTTCAAAGCCCGTAGCCAGAGCCCTGGGTAGACGTGAATTTCCAGGGCCTGCCTTCAGTCGCTGCAGGCTGGGTGCAGGTGGTGGTGTGCTGAGCTTCTGGAGGGTCCCCCAGGAGAGACAGATGCTGCACAGGGGGCCTGATGGCAGCAGAGAGATTACATCTTCACAGGGATATTTGCAGAGGGACACTGGCCTTGATGGGCCTTTATTTTGATAGGAAAGGGGACAGAAGGAATTTGGAGAGACCCTTGTTTTTTCACCAGACTGCTTCTAGACCCACCCTCTGGATTTGCTAAAACTGGGTACCTGGCCCTGCCCCCCAGAGGCACCCGCAGTGGGTGGGATGAAGCCAGCTCCCCCACTGCTTCCCGGGTCACCAGCATCTTCCTGACCTGGTTTCCTCGTGTCCTGGATTCCGTATTCCATGTGACCAGCCCAGACTGCGCGTCAGTCGGGTCTGGCCTTATCGGTTGTGTCCTGGAGGGTGGCACAGGCCTCATGACTCAGGGTCAAAGCCAGCCCAGAGGTTATCTCCCCATATCGGAGTTTCTCCTTCATGGATCACAGCCTTGTTGGTGCAAAGGAGCATGTGTAACTCATTGGCGCTATGAGCCATGGTGTGCAGGGCCACCCAAGACGGATGGGTTATAGTGAAGAGTTCTGACAAAAACGTGGTCCAGTGGGTGAGGGAATGGCAAACCACTCCAGTATTCTTGCCATGAGAACCCTATGAACAGTATGAAAAGGCAAAAGGATATGGCACTGGAAGATGAGACCCCAGGTCGGAAGGTGTCCAGTATGGTACTGGGAAGAGTGGAGAGCAATTACTAATAGCTCCAGAGAAAATGAAGCAGCTAGGCCAAGTGGAAACAGTTCTCAGTTGTGGATATGTCTCATGGTGAAAGTCAAGTCCTATGCTGTAAAGAACAATATTTCATAGGAACCTGGAATGTTAGATCCATGGATAAAGGTAAATTAGATGTGGTCAAACAGGAGATGGCAAGAGTGATCATTGACATCTTTGGAATCAGTAAACTAAAATGGATGGGAATGGGTGAATTTAATTCAGGTGCCCATTATATATATCTACTGCTGTGGGCAACAGTCCCTTAGAAGAAGTGGACTAGCCCTCATAATCAACAAGAGTCTGAAATGCAGTACTTGGATGCAATCTCAAAAACTCCAGAATGATCTGATCTCTGTTCATGTCCATGGCAAACCATTCGATATCACAGTAATCCAAGTCTATGCCCCGACCACTAATGCTGAAGAAGCTAAATGGTTCTATGAAGACCTATAAGATCTTCTAGAACTAACACCAAAAAAAAGGTATCTTTTTCATCATAGAGGATTGGAATGCCAAAGTAGGAAGTCTGAGATGCCTGGAGCACAGGCAGGTCTGGCCTTGGAGTATAAAATGAAGCAAGCCGGGCCAAGGCTAACGGAGTCTTGCCAAGAGAACACACTGGTCACAGCAAACACCCTTTCCCAACAACACAAGAGACAGTTCTAAACATGGACATTACCAAATGGTCAATGCCGAAATCAGACTGATTATGTTCTTTGCAGCCAAAGATGGGGAGAAGCTTAATACAGTCAGCAAAACAAGACCAGGAGCTGACTGTGGCTCAGATCATGAGCTCCTTACTGCAAAATCCAGGCTTTTTTTTTTAATTTTAAATTTTTAAATTTTTTTTTTCATTTATTTTTATTAGTTGAAGGCTAATTACCTTACAATATTGTAGTGGTTTTTGCCATACAGGTTTAAAGTGAAGAAAGTAGGGAAAACGACTAGACCTTTCAGATATGACCTAAATTAAATCTCATGATTATACAGTAGAAGTAACAAATGGATTCAAGGGATTAGATCTAGTAGATGGAGTGCCAGTGCTAGTGAAGAACTATGGACAGAGGTTCATAACATTGTACAGGAGGCAGTGACCAAAACCATCCCAAAGAAAAAGAAATGCAAGAAGGCCAAGTGGTTGTCTGAAGAGGCTCTACGAGTAGCTAAGAAAACAGAAGCGAAAAGCAAGGGAGAAAGGGAAAGATATAGCCAGCTGAATGCAGAGATCCAAAGAATAGCAAGGAAAGGTAGAAGGCCTTCTTAAATGAACAGTGCAAAGAAGTAGTGGAAAATAATAGAATGGGAAAGACTGGAGATTTCTTGAAGAAAATTGGAGAGATCAAGGGAACAGTTCATGCAAAGATGGGAACCATAAAGGACAGAAATACTAAGGACCTCACAGAAGCAGAAGAGATTAAGAAGAGGTGGCAAAAATACACTCAAGAACTGTACAAAAAAGGTCTTAATGACCCAGATAACCATGATGGTATGGTTACTTACCTAGAGCCAGACATACTGGAGTGTGAAGTCAAGTGGGCCTTAGAAAGCATGACTACAAACAAAGCTAGTGTGGGTGATAGAATTCCAGCTGAGGTATTTCAAATCCTAAAAGATGATGCTGTGAAAGTGCTGAACTCAATATGCCAGCAAATTTGGAAAACTCAGCAGTGGCCACAGGACTAGAAGAGGTCAGTTTTCATTTTAATCCCAAAGGGCGGTGCCAAAGAATGTTCAAACTACCACACAATTGCACTGATTTCACATGCTAGCAAATAATGCTCAAATTCCTTCAAGCTAAGCTTCAGCAGTACATGAACCAAGAACTTCCAGATGTACAAGCTGGATTTAGAAAAGGCAGAGGAACCAGAGATCAAATTGCCAACATTTGTTGGATCATAGAAAAAGCAAGGGAATTCTAGAAAAAACATCTGCTTCTGCTTCATTGACTGTGCTCAAGCCTTTGATCGTATGTGGATCACAGTAAACTGGAAAATTCCTCAAGAGATGGGAATACCAGACCACCTTACCTGTCTCCTGAGAAACTTGTATGCAGGTCAAGAAGCAACAGTTAGAACCAGTCATGGAACAACAAATTGGTTCAAAATTGGGAAATAAGTGTGACAAGACTGTATGTTGTCATCCTGCTTACTTAACTTCTATGCAGAATGCATCATGTGAATGAATGCACAAGCTGGAATCAAGATTGTCAGGAGAAATATCAACAACCATAGATATGCAGATGATCCCACTCTAATGGCAGAAAGTGAAGAGGAATTAAAGAGCCTCTTGGTGCAGGTGAAAGGGGAGAATGAAAAAACTGGCTTAAAATTCAACATTCAAAAGACTTACGATTATGACATTTGGTCCTATCACTTCCTGGCAAACAGAAAGGGGAAATGTGGAAGCAGTTACAGATTTTATATTTTTGGGCTCTAAAGTCACTGCGGATGATGATTGCAGCCATGAAATTAAAAGGTGCTTGCTCCTTGGAAGGAAAGCTATGACAAACCTAGACAGCATATTAATAAGTAGAGACATCACTTTGCTGATGAACGTCTGTATGGTCAAAGCTATGGTATTTCCAGTCTGGACGTGAGAGTTGAACCATAAAGAAGACTGAGTGCCAAAGAATTGATGCTTTAAAACTGTGCTGCTGGAGAAGACTCTCAAGAGTCCCTTGGACTGCAAGGAGATCAAATCAGTCAATCCTAAAGGAAATCAGCCCTGTATATTCATTGGAAGGAGTGATGCTGAAGATGAAGCCCAGGTACTTTGACCACCTGATGCGAAGAATCACCTCATTGGAAAAAATGCTGATACTGGAAAAGATTGAGGGCAAAAGGAGAAGAGGGTGGCAGAGATGAGATGGTTAGATAGTATCACTGACTCAGTGGACACGAATTTGAGCAAATTCCAGGAGATAGTGAAGGACAGGGAAGCCTGGTGTGCTGCAGTCCATGGGGTTGCAAAGAGTTAGACCCAGCTTAGCAACTGAACAACAATCAGAGTGACAGCTGTCCTGTTGGCTTTTTTTTTTAACCTGTAGGAGAGCTTCTTAATTGAGGCCTGAATCTGATAGAACAGATCTTAATGAAATCAGCCTGGAACCGTGTCGTCTAGAACATCTGCCTCCCCACCCTGTCCTGACTGCTCTCGTTCAGGAACACCAGGATAGCCATGACTCCACCTCTGGGCTTCTAAGAACATTGGGCGCTATTAATAATTACACAGATTTTATGCCAGTTTGCAGTTTGCCAGAATAGACATTTAAATACGGAAGGAAGTATTTTTCCTTCCACCTGAAGGAGCAGTGACACACACTTCTTTCAAAACCTAATCTATATATTTTTTTCCCTGGTACTGGATTTACTTTCCTAATCACATGTTTTCATTGAATATCCATGAAGGTTAATTTCTCTTCTTTACACACACCTGGGCCTGTTGGCCAATGAAGGAGGCGGCCCAGGAAGCCTCGCGGTCTCAGCCAGCAGGCGTGTAGGGTTTAGAGTCAGCTGTCAGTGTCAGATTTTCAAAATCATTTTCCTAGTAAAAGAGGTGAGCTATAAATATGTTTCCTAACACTTGAGGAACTTCTTGATTACATATAACATCACCATCTTAACGACTCTTGGCATTTTTGCTTGGCATTTTCTAGCAGTTTTTAAAAACCAGCATAGTGGGCATATAGTTTTCAGACAATAAAATAGTGATTTTAGTGGGCAGTATCAGAGTTTGGACAAATGTCCACAGTTGCCTGAGCTTCATTGCAGTCAAGATAGAGAATGGTCTGGGACTTTCCTGGTGGTCCAGCACTTAAGCTTCCTTGTTTCCAATGCAGGGGGCCTGGGTTCGATCCCTGGTCAGGAAACTAGATCCCACATGCTGCAACTTGAGTTTGCATGCCACTAAGACCTGGCACAGCCAAAGAAATTAAAAAATAAACATTCAAACTTGTTTTTTTTTTAAAAAGATATAGAATATTCTCATCACCCCAGAAGGTTCTCTCGTATGACCCCGTCCCCTGGTGACCAGCATCCATCCTCTGTCCTTGTACTTAATGCCATTTCTCTTCCATTGTTTAAGCAGCCGTGCGTTTCTGCGTGGCTGAGGTCCTGCCTAGCATGATGACACACCACGTGCTTGATCTTCATCACTTGTTTTGGTGACTGTCTGCTGGGAGCCTTCCGTGTCATCACTGCCTCTCCCCCGCAGCACCATTTCATTTTGCATAGATGCATCTCTCTCGTTGGACATGCGTTATTGTGATCAGGAGTTGCCTCCTGATCGTTGGCTAATATTTTTTTTTCTCAGAATTTTTACCTTTTAAGATAGTTCTTGTGAAATAGAACACTGCCCTCAGTGAGAGGACAGCAGTCATGACTGGTTCTTCAAGTTGGTCCTGTCGGCCCCACTTCCGGACATCAGGCTGAAGAGAAAGGTTTCCTGCCCCAGGTCAGGTCAGCGTGAATTCCGCTCCTGGGCGGGGACCTCGTGGTCCAGTGACTGCACCTCATTTGGGTTAGAAGGAGCTGCCTTTAGTCCTGAGTGTCCGCTGCCTGCTCACCCCTCCTCAGCCTCCTTCTCTGAAACTCTCCTGTGCAAGAGTACTCCGCCCTCTTTAGACCATGTGTGTTGGGGAAGGTGAGTGAGATACGGGATTTTGGTTTCAGTTGCCCCCATCTTTTCCTGATGCTCTTCCACGGACTCCCCAGAGAGCAGGTGTGGGCAAGAGCAGAGGTTGAGCCGGAGGGCACATCCTGAGACCATACGCTGCTTCCGTGCTGCTTGCTCTCTGCTCTTTCTCTTCGAGTTTTGGTATAACTGAAAATTTCACATCGACTTACATTTCTAATCTCTTGTTATCTGACAAAGACTCAGAAAATTTTCGCAAATAGTTGTAGCAGTGGTCTCCATTTTTCCTTCCATCTTTTGCAGGCTTACTGCTGGTTTTTGATACAGAAAGAGGTGTGCTTCTTCCTGGTAACTGAAGGCATGCGCAGTCCCAGTCCCAGAGGGTCTTGCTTTGTGGGTGGCCCCAGTGTGTTTTGATGGCTGTTGTAATGGGTCCTGAGTGTCAACACAAGCTGCACAGAGACAGGAGTGGAGGTGGTGGTGAGAGCTGGTGGCCCCTGCCCAGCCCTGAACAGGCTGCCACGTGGGCTTTAGAGAAAGCCCTGGTCTCCTGGGCCAGGATATCATGAACATACATTCACTTGGAACGTCCCTGTTACAGAATCCAAGCTCATATTGCTCACTGTATGAGCAGCCAGTCAACTGAGAGACAGTTGTTGGGGCAGGAACAGCCACTTTATTTGGAAAGCCAGTAGATCGAGAAGATAGTGGACCAATGTCCCAAAGAACCATCTTCTGTGAGTTAGAATTCAGGCCTCTTTTGTACTAAAAGGGGAGGGAATGAAGGCAAGCATTTCCTGGTTCCAGTCAGCCTCCAGAGGGGATGTGTTAATTCCTTCCTTCCTGCAGCCATTCACAGGTGAGCCTGGTCAGGATGTTTCCTGTGAGCTAAACAAAGGTAGTTCAGCTTATTCATTACCTGAGAGGCAGGGTTCCCAGGGATGGGTCATGATGTGTAATTTAAGCTTATAGGCAACATCCCTTTAGTGATTAACTTGTGGGTGCTTATGTGCTAAGTCGCTTTAGTCATGTCTGACTGTGCAACCCAGTGGACTGCAGCTCCCAGGCTCCTCTCTCCATGGGATTTTCCAGGCAGGAATACCGGAGTGGGTTCCCATTTCCTACTCCAGGGCATCTTCCCAACCCAGGGATCGGACTCGTGTCTCTTCACGTCTCCTGCTTTGCAGGTGGATTCTTGATCACTAGTGCCACCTGTAATAGAAAACAAAGGTTCTTCTCTATGACATCCCTAACTCTGAGGACTCACAAGAACATCAGTACTTTTTTTAAAAGAGTCTACCCAGCCAGGATTTCCCCCTGTGTTCCATGGACCCTGGTCATCTTCCTCCGCCCCAGACTCCAGTGGGGGTACCAGGAGGGCTAGAGGCACTGCCCCCCAGCACAAGCACCTGCCCCGGGGCAGTTATTTAAACCTAAATTCAAATGCAGTAAAAGCCGAAGTCCAGTTCCTCAGGGGCACTGGGCACGTGTGGCTGCCACCTGCAAGGCAGTTACAGAACATTTCTGTCATTGCAAAAGTTTTGTTGACAGTGCTTGGGCAGGAGCCATGGTGAAACTGGACTCAGGGCATGGGGCCTAACTATTGTGGGTTCGCTCCTTCTTGTCACGTGAGCCAGTGAGAGTAGGGAATTTGCTGTGGGCTGTAGGATGCCTTTTTTTTTCCCCCCTTGAAGTCATCAGTGTGTGTGGAGGGGTGTGCATCTGGTCCCACTGGACTGGCTTCTGTGAAGAGGACACATTTCCTTGACTGGTGACACCCCTGCGTCAGACTGGTTCCAGTTCTCTGTGCCCGGTTTCCTCATCTGTGAAATGGGGATGCTCATGGGCATGAACAAGTCCCTGTGGGTAAAACTCTGAGAACAGTGTTTGGAGGGTTGGATTTGCTCCCAAGAGAAGGTAGTTGTCACCTCCTATGGGGCAGGTGCGCCCTCCACTGGGCTGGGCAGCACAGAGAGGAACTTCTGGACCTTCTCCCCCCACCTTGTCTTTTGAAGCTGCAGGCACCCCAGAGAACAGCACCCCAGTGGAGGCAGAGCCCAGCCAGTGGGTGTGCAAGGTGTGTTCAGCCACCTTCCTGGAGCTGCAGCTGCTGAATGGTAAGGGGCAGGCGCCTGCTGGGCCGGACGCCAGGGAGCCCCTGGATGCGTTCGCCCAGACGCACATTGTCACTTCTGTCGGCGAGGATGTCAGGATTCCCCTGGCTCCGCTCCTAGCCTGTGTCCTGCAGGCCTCCTCCCAGGGATCTGCGCTTCGGCTTGAAGTCCTCTGCGTATCTGGCACTGAGGGATCTTGTTTTCTTTCCGCCAGTCAGCGGAGTAGTTCAGTTGGGAAGGAGGGTAGTGGGGGCTGTCTCTGTTTTTGTGGCCTAAGTGTGTTCAGCCTGGTGGACTCATCATAAGCATCTTCTGCAGAGCACCTGTTGGGCCACTTGGAACAATCCAAGAGCGGCGCCCCAGCTGGCCAGCAGGAATCAGCCCCGGAGAAGGAAGCAGATGTGCCCCGGGGGGAACCTACTGAGGTTCCCAAGACTGTCAGTGCCACCAAAGAGCAGAAGAAAAAGCCTCGAAGGGGAAGAAAACCCAAAGCATCCAAACCAGAGCAGCCTCTAGTCATTGTTGAAGGCAAGGAGCCAGCAGGTGAGGGTGGTCCTGGGGGAGGAGCCATCTCGGGGGCGTGGTCCTGGGAGGCGCCATCTTGGGGGCGTGGTCCTGGGAGGCGCCATCTTGGGGGCGTGGTCCTGGGGGAGGCGTGCTGATAGCGGAAAGGGGCCTGAGGCCACATTGCCTCGTTGGCAGGCAGGAAAACTTGGTCCGGAGTCTACGTGGAGGTGCTGTGTAAGCCCTTCTCTTGCTGTGAACCAGCTCTTTCGAGAACAGCTTACTCCCAGTGCGGTTGGTAGAGTGCGTGGGCTGTGAACTTTGATAGGCGGCTTCCCCAGTGTAGGCGGTCTGGACAGAACATTTCCATCTCCTCAGCCGCCCATCCTGGGAGCTCAGCATCTTGCAGGCCACGTGTGGAGAAGACTCACGTGTGGAGAAGACCCACGTTGGGCTTCCCACTCTCCTTTGGTCCATCATGTGGGTGCTCCAGCGTCTGCTCCCTACGGGTATGCGGCTGCGCTCTGGGCCATGGCTAAAGGTGTTACTCTGACTCTGTAGTAGCTTCAGTTGAGTTTGAAGAGAACTTGGTCTCTCGGTTGAGGGGTCCCCACGAGGCCATGTCCCCTCCACCCTCATGGCCTCACCAGAAGTGCCACCAGATTCCTGGGAGGTCTGTAATGTAAGGACCAGACTTGATGCTCAGACACTCGTGAGTCCCCCTCACTGCCTTCCTCACTGACCACCCACTGGGCAGTTTTTCTTCTTGCTGTCTGCTTGTAGCCCAGGATTTCTTTGTGAGTGACAAGAAATTCTTGTTCTCTCTCAGAATTAAAGAGAATTCAGAGGAGCAGCCCTCAGATAATATTCTCAGGAGAGGTGGTTTAAGCTTCCCCTGGACAGTCTCCGTACTTCTCTATAAACAAGAAAAAAAGACAGAAGTGAAAAGCTTATTATTATTTCACTAATTATTAGTTGCATTAGGAAGACACATAGTAGGTGAAGTAGATAAATCTTTTTGTGTAATCTTACCGTATTTCATTTGTCAGTCCTGGGTCCCTATTACTATGGTCATTTGATATTTAACTCTTACAGAAAATGATTATTTGCTTTTGAATGTACTCACGATGACTTGTGTAATTACAGAAATTAATATTCCTAAATCTCTGTCAGGATGAATTTAATAAGTTATAAGACCGTACTATATATCAAAGTGTTTCGTTTTAGGTGGTATGAAAAGGGATTGAAGTAGGGTCATGATTCCTGTGGTTTTAAAAAGAATCACCGATTCCAACTCCAGTTTTGAGTTAAAAATAACTTTTTGCTTTTTTCAATCTGCAGGCAAATGTGTGGATTCTAAAGTACTGCTGGTTTTTTTCCTGTCAATCTTGTGACCCGTGTCTAGGGCATCGGCCTGGCTGTGGCCCCTTGGGCCTGGCGTCTGGGTTCAGCTGTGTTCTGTCCGTGGCCCCAGCCGTGACACAGCTTGTCTCATCCCCTTCTTGCAGAGCAAGTGACAGAGATCATGACTGAGGTCGAGCCCGTGACTGCGACGCCAGACGAGCGGATCATGGAGCTGGTTCTGGGAAAGCTGGCCGCCACCCCCAGCGACACCAGCTCGGTGCCAAAGTAAGTCCCAGCATGGCACTTGGCCTGGCTTCACGGGCAAAGGCATGTGGCGGCTAATCCATTTCAGAGGGAAAGCCTGACGGGAGGGGATGGTTTACTTCTTATGAGAAATGCCTGTGCATGGGGAGCAGCAGGAAGGTTCTGGAGCTCAGGGAGTTACTAGTGCAGCCTCTGTGAAAATAGATGAAAAAGTCTTTTTATTGTAGTAAAATACACATGGTATAGAATTTATCATCTTAGCCATTTTTAAGTGTATGGTTCAGTGGTTTCAAATACATTCACGTCTTTGTGCAACCTTCCATCCATCTCCAGAATTTTTTCATCTTCCCCAAGATGAAACTCCATCCTTATGAAACACTAACTCCCCAAGTCTCCCTCTCCAGCCGCTGGCACCCACTGTTTTGCTTTCTGTCTCTGCAAAGACCTTACAGGAGGTACTCGTGTCTCTCAGGATCTCGTATAAATGGATCACACATGGTTGTCCTTTAGTGACTGGTTTACTTCACTTAGTGTAATGCTCTCGAGGTCCATCCATATTGTAGCTGGTATTGGAGTGTCCGTCTGGTTTAAGTCAGAATATTACTCCATCATGCAGGAGGACCGCACTTGGTTCATCCACTCGTCCACCAGCTGATACTTGTGTTGTGTCTAACAAGGCTGCTATGATGGAACAGTTTGTATCTGAACTTCTATAAATTTAATATTCTGCATTTCTTTTCTTTTTATGAATGAGGAAAATGTTTATATTTTAGTTATTAGTAATTTTTTGCCCTGAAGTTGAATAAGCCAGTGACAGTGTTTCAGGTCCTTTTTGGAGTGCGTCCTTCAGTGTCAAAGCATGCCTGGTCCTAGACAGTCCAGGAAGCTGTGCAAAAACAGAGCAGAGAGTATCAGAAATGGTGAGCATGACCTACTTATTCATGCTCTGTCTTATTGCCCAGAGGATTTCTATAACTTACTGCTAGAAACACATTTAATAGGGAGAAGAAGTTTGAAAAAATCAGGTTCAGGGAAGATATGAAACAGGGTAGAGGCAAGTGAAGAAAGCAGAAGAGATGGGGTCACTCTGGCCAACGCACTCACTGAGCTCCAGGCTTCTGGTGAGCAGAGTTAATGCTGAGGGAGATGAGTGGCTGGTGTGGAAAAAACTTGAGTGATGCCACTGCACGTTCAGGGTGTCTCCCTTATCCAGAAGCCCCAAAGCTGGGGGACACCTGAGCCCAACACCCCCCTCTGGCGTCGAGCTCGGAAGATTCGACCGGCGCTCTTTCCAGGATGACTGTAACCTTGAACTTTTCTCCCCAGCGACCCTGCCTCCCGCCTGCCTCACCAGCCTGTGCATCTGTCCTGCAGGTTCCCGCATCACCAGAGTGGCACCATCACCCTCAAGAGGAGCCTGATCCTCTCGAGCCGGCACGGCATCCGGCGGAAGGTGGTACGTCAGCTGGGTGAGCACAGGCGCGTGTACCAGTGTAGTATCTGCAGCAAGGTCTTCCAGAACAGCAGCAACCTGAGCAGGCACGTGCGCTCACACGGTGAGTGCCCGCCGCCACCCCCTCCGCCCCGGGGGGCCAGGCCTCGGCGCGCCCGGAGGAGTGACAGGCTCGTCACTGGCTGGCCCTTAGGTGACAAGCTGTTTAAGTGCGAGGAATGTGCCAAGCTGTTCAGCCGCAAGGAGAGCCTGAAGCAGCACGTCTCCTACAAGCACAGTAGGAACGAGGTGGGTGACGGAGGAAAGCAGAGCAATGACGGCCGGAGAGTCCCGGGCGAGGGGGTAGGGAGCAGGAGCTGGAGGGGCCGAGGTAGACCGGGGCCTAGTGAGATGCTGCCGGGGATCGGGGAGGAGCCGGAGGCCACTGTGGGCACCAGGGTCACCTGGATGCTTCTCTTTCCAGGGCAATGGGTCAGCCAGGCACGGTTCGTGTGTCTGAGCTGGACGGGAGGGTAGCAGAGGGAGGGGCTATGAGATGCACGACACTGCTGGAGCGGCTCCCTTGAGAGGGTGTCCCCGCTGCCCCACTGCTGCCCGCTCCCCCGTCTTCCCACCAGGTCGACAGCGAGTACAGGTACCGGTGTGGCACCTGCGAGAAGACCTTCCGCATCCAGAGCGCGCTGGAATTTCACAACTGCCGCACAGGTGAGCAGCCTTGCCCGGCGCTGAGGCTCAGGTCCCTGGTGGGGTGGGACCCAGGTGCTCCAGCAGGGGGTGAAGGTGAATTTAACTGGTAACCTCACCTTTTAAGGAGAAGGCAATGGCAACCCACTCCAGTACTCTTGCCTGGAGAATCCCAGGGACGGGGGAGCCTGGTGGGCTGCAATCCATGGGGTCGTGAAGAGTCGGACACGACTGAGCGTCTTCACTTTCACTTTTCACTTCCGTACACTGGAGAAGGAACTGGCAACCCACTCCAGTGTTCTTGCCTGGAGAATCCCAGGGTCGGGGGAGCCTGGTGGGCTGCAATCCATGGGGTCGTGAAGAGTCGGACACGACTGATGCGACTTAGCAGCAGCAGCTCACCTTTAAGATTCTGCTCCATGTGGTTTGCTTTCAAGCAGCTGTTACACTAAGACGTGCAGATGGAGAGTTCCCATTTAAAAGAGAATTTATTTTATTTTCTACTGTTCATCAAAAGCAGCTACATATGGTTGCATTTGTGGCTTCCCTGGTGGCACTAGTGGTAGATAATCCTCCTGTCAGCGCAGGAGATGCAGGTTCCATTCACTGGTCGGGAAGATCCCCTGGAGGAGGGCCTGGCAGCCCACTCCAGTATTCTTGCCTGGAGAGTCCTGTGGACAGAGGAGCCTGATGGGCTACAGTCCATGTAGCCACAAAGAGATGGACACAATTGAGCGACTGAGCATGCACATGGCTGCCTTTGAGATTGGGGAGGTTTCATCCTCACCAAGAATGTTGAGCGGCCGTGGAGGGTTTGTTCAGGGATCGAGGAAGAAGTACGTGCAGAGGTAGGGTCACAGCTGGAGGAGTGGGTTTCTGCCTCCTTATCAGTAGGACCTTACTCAACCGTCCACGCTCCTCCCTCCATGGACCCACTTGTGTCCAGCAAAGGCCTGGCTGCTCCCTCTCACCGACTGGTTTTGCTCTGAGCCTGCCTCTGTCCTTGGTCTCCACTCATGCTCTGGACCTTCGTCTGCCTGTGTGGCTGAAGCCACATGCTCAGACCAGCCTGTGGCCAGGATAGGTTTCTGGGCCTAGCCAAGCATCCAGAGCTCAGTATCTGGCCAGCTCACAGCTGGTGAGCGCACATGATGTACATAAATCCCTGAGGATGGCGAGGGGATGGCTGTGCAGAGCTCAGCCGGTTGGGGTGGCCTCTGTCTGTGGGTGAAGGCTCACTGCCCCCAGCCCCAGCCTGGGAGGACGGGCACCGGGGAGGGTCACTGTTGTCTTTTCGGTCCCTCTCCTAGAATTCATGGCACCTAGGCAGGGGGGTGAGGGGAGGGGGTACTGGTGGCAGCTGGCTTAGACACTTCCCAAGTTAGCACTTAATTCCGAATCCCCCTCCATGTCGGTCCCTGTTCACTTTGTATCTCTGTGCTGGTTCTTGTTAAGGTGCTGGCCAGTCCTCATCTTGGGGCATCCTTACCCATCATATCCACCATCGCTGCCCTCCCTGTCGGCGCCTGCTCCTGCAGGCTCTGCCCTGTCCCTTTGTTTGATTCATGTGCTTGTTCCACTCTGCAGGCTTCTGTTGGAAACCAAGGCTGTTTCCTCCACCCACGGTGGGGCTTTTCTGAAGTGGCAGGTGAGGCTTGTCTCACTTGAGCTCAGGCTGCTCTGCAGTGTTGGTCATGGGGTGAAGTGGACTTGGAAGCTTGCAGGTGGATCCATATAGTGTGCCCTGCCACCTGCAGTCTGCAGTCCAGTGTGCCCCAAACTGCGGAGACCCACCAATTTTTGATGCTGTATCAGTCAGATTGTTCACTTAGGATGGCTTTCTTTTTTCTTTTTTCTTTTTTAGGATGGCTTTCTTATCCCTCCTTGCTATTCTCTGGAACTCTGCATTCACTTAGGAATATCGTTCCCTTTCTCCTTTGTCTTTCACTGTTCTTCCTTTTTCAGATATTTGTAAGGCCTTCTCAGACAACCACTTTGCCTTCTTGCATTTCTTTTTCCTGGGGATGGTTTTGGTCACCACCTCTTGCACAGTGTTACAAACCGTCCATCATTCTATCTACCTATCACTGTCTGTCTGTCTGTAGTTCTGTCTGTCACTCTATCTACCAGATCTAGTCCCTTCAGTCTATTTGTCACCTCCACTGTATAATCATAAGGGATTTGATTTAGGTCATACCTGAATGGCCTAGTGGTTTTACCCACTTTCTTCAGTTTGAGCCTGAATTTTGCAGTAAGGAGCTGATGATCTGAGCCACAGTCAACTCCAGGTCTTGTTTTTGCTGACTGTATGAAAAATGCAAAGAAATAGAGGAAACCAGTAGAATGGTAAAGACTAGAGATCTCTTTAAGAAAATTGGAGAGATCAAGGGAACATTTCATGCAAAGATGGGCACGATAAAGGACAAAAACAGCAAGGACCTAACAGGAGCAGAAGATATTAAGAAAAGGTGGCAAGAATACACAGAAGAACTATACAAAAAAGGTCTTAACCCAGATAACCACGATGGTGTGATCACTCACCTACATCCAGACATCCTGGAATGTGAAGTCAAGTGGGCCTTAGGAAGCATCACTACTAACAAAGCTAGTAGAGGTGATAAAATTCTAGCTAAGCTGTTTCAAATCCTAAAAGATGATACTGTGAAAGTGCTGCACTCAATAAGCCAGCAAATTTGGAAAACTCATTAGTGGCCACAGTACTCAGTTTTCATTCCAATCCCAAAGAAGGGCAATGCCAAAGAATGTTCAAACTACTGCACAGTTGTACTCATTTCACATGCCAGCAAGATTATGCTCAAAATTCAAGTAAGGCTTGAACAGTGTGTGAACCGAGAACTTCCAGATGTATCAGCTAGATTTAGAAAAGGCAGAGGAACCAGAGATCAAATTGCCAACATATGCCAGATCATAGAAAAAGCAAAGTAATTAAAAAAAAATCTGCTTCATTGACTAAGCTAAAGCCTTTGACTGTGTGGATCACAGCAAACTGAAGAATATTCTTAGTGAGATAGGAATACCAGACCATCTTACCTGTCTCTTATGAAACCTATATGCAGGACAAGAAGCAACAGTTAGAACCAGACATGGAACCATGGACNGACCAAAGAAAGAGTTCGGAGACAGAGACATTACCTTACATGTCAGAAACACACACCCCCCCACACACACCCCCATTTTTAGGGGGAGATTGCCTTCAGGTTGGCTTGTCAGTTACCAGGGAATCCAGCAGCTGGGGCATACCCCTTCCAGCCTCTCAGGTTAACAGCCAGGACCAGCAGAAGGGTAAGTATTTCCCTTTAATGAACTAGCAGGTGGAGTCTTTCTGACCTAAGGATTAGGACAGAACCTAGCTGACGCAGAGGGCAAGCGGTTCAAGTGAGTGGAGGTGAGACAGATGCTGGGCAAGCAGGAGATGGACAGAGAGCCGGAGGATGGCCGTCCTGCGTGACCTGACCACATACCACGTAAAATGTGTTCGTTCTCGTTGCTGCATGTTGTCAAGACACCAGTGTAGACCTTGAGGGCGGCAGGATTATGGGCGGGAGAAGGTTGTCCTTGAGCTCCTGTCTGGATTCCTGAACTGGTGCCACATGGATGCCACGGCGGGAAGAGCCGCCCGAGCTGACAGCCTGGCCTGACAGCTGCTCCAGCTCCACGGTCACCGGGCAGAGGCCACCTCCATGGGTTGGGAAAGTTGGAAGTGGGTCGTTTCCATTAGCTGGGAGGGACTCGTTAGGGAGAGAGGGAGCTGTAGTCCAAGGGCTGCACTGCACTTTCCACGGCTGTTGGGTTCCGTCTGGGGCTCATGGGGCCAACCTGCCCGGGAGAGAGACTCATCTGTGTGGTTTGGGAGGCCCAGGATGGGTGGGGCCTCCAGTAATCTGATGGGATAGCGCTGTAAGGTGGTGTTCAGTCACTCAGTCGTGTCTAGCTCTTTGAGACCCTATGGACTGCAGCACACTAGGCCTTCCTGTCCTTCACTATTTCCCAGGGTTTGCTCGAACTCATGTACACTGAGTCGGTGATGCCGTCCAACCATCTCATCCTCTATCAGCCCCTTCTCCTCCTGCCCCCAATCCTTCCCAGCATCAGGGTCTTTTCCAGTGAGTCGGCTCTTCACATCAGGTGACCAAAGTATTCGAGTGTCAGCTTCAGCACACCATAAGGTGTGACCCTTCACTAAGCAAGATGGCAGATGCCCTTGTCTCTGGTGGTCTTCTTCCTAAGAATCAATGCTAGGGAAATCTAGTTGGTGGGGGGGAAGTTAACCAAGAACTACTAAATTATCTGCAATATCAAAAATAGTGAAGTAAATTTGTGATACATGAACTGAGTAGAATATTATGTAGCCATTAAAATAAGTCTGAAAATCTTTGCATGCCGCATGTGCTGTGCACACAGGCACAAACCCAGGTCCAGGGCATTGTGTGGACACCCCTGGGATTCACCTGTGCTGCACGCTGGGGTCAGGAGAGAAGTTAACTGCTGAGGTCTGAGCCCCCCGGGGACCCTGGGCAGAGTCTGGAGCTGGTTGGGTTGTAACAACTGGGGTTGCTGCTGGCATTTGGGGCAGGGGAGGCCAGGGATGCTGCTCAGCATGCAGACCATGGGACACCCCCACACCTCCCATCCCCCTCCACTATGATCCAGCCCAAGTGTCCGCAGTGCACAGGCTGAGATTCTGGGATGGGGGTCCATTGTGAAGCAGAATGAGAACCTCAGTCAGAATCAGTGTAGAAATTGAAACTTTAACTCAGGGATTGGTGCACTCAGCACGCACTGACTGACCATGGGAAGTGGTCACTGGGCTGTAACCAAGAGCCCAGAAATAAGAGCGATGCAGGGCATCTTCTGGCCCTTGCTCCAGAGCGGAAAGCACACTGTCATGCCCGCCCCCAGCATAGGCGATACGTGGCAGGGCTCCTGGGCTGCAGGAGGGCCAGTGGGGAGCGGGGACTCCCTTCTGGGGCTGGTTTAGGTGACAGACCCTGGCAGGAGCAGGGTGGGTATGGGTGTTAGGGGGTGACATGAGAGGTGGGAGCAGGGGACCAGTCTGAGAGAAGAGTGCTGGCCGAGACCCCCTGGCGGAGACCAGGTGGGTGGGACCAAGGTGGACAGCTGAAGAGAGGCCAGGGCCTCGCAGGTCCCCGGATGGCCCCTCTGCACTCATGGGGAGCAGACCCTCAGGGCTAGTGGGGTGGGCAGGAGGAGGGGGTGCCCTGCTTGCCTGGAAGGAGAGAGCAGGATGGGGACTGTCAGAGGCCCTGGTGGGCAGTTTGGCCACCTCTGGGGAGGCTGGGATACTGGCTGTCGGTATTTCCAGAGCGTTCATTAGGGGTGGGGATGGAAGGTGTATGTCTCCTAAAGGGGCCCTAGGAACAAGGCAGCCTGTTTACAGGTGGAAGAAATGGGGGATGTCTATGTGCGATGGGGGAGGAGCCCGAGGAGGGCCAGGTGGGAGAGAAGGGGCAGGTTTTGGGTGGGCTCTGGGGGAGCAGTGAGGGGCTTAGCCTGGGGCCAGGTGGGAGGCAGCTTGTCTGAGGTGGGGTGGGGGTAAAGTGGGGGCGGGGACTGCAGTCAGGTTAGGGGGTGAGGGCCCAGGCCTCTTGCCTCGCTAGGAGTCCCCAAATGCTGCAGATGTGGGTCCTGGGGGTGAGGGGATGGGCTGGGCATAGCTCTGCCTGCCTGGCGCTGGGCTCAGGGCTCAGGGCTCAGGCCTGGCCGGGCAGGGTGTCCTCTCAGTTCAGGTGGCGGCGGCAGTGCCTTTTCCTGGCTCTGCGCTTCCCCTGGGCCTCCTTGCCGGCCCCAGGGGAACGTGCGCTCAGTGTCACGTACCCAAAAGCTGCTTCCTTTCCCTACCTCCTCGGCAGACGACAAGACGTTCCAGTGTGAGATGTGCTTCCGGTTCTTCTCCACCAACAGCAACCTCTCCAAGCACAAGAAGAAACACGGGGACAAGAAGTTTGCCTGTGAGGTCTGCAACAAGATGTTCTACCGCAAGGACGTCATGCTCGACCACCAGAGGCGGCACCTGGAAGGTGGGTGCACCTGTGGGGGTGGGGTGACGCCGCCCCGCCTCCGCGGCTGCCCGCTGTTAGGCGCTGCCTGACAGGCACAGCCTGAGGTCCTGCTGGGAGCTGTCGCGTCATGCGTCAGTGGGAACTGGAGCCTTCCTGAACACTCCACGGGGCGCGGGGAGGATGTTAGGGAAACTGGACTCTTTGTGGGACTGAATGTTCTCAGTCACCCAAAACAGTTTTTCCAAGGAGTTTCATACTGAGGAAATGCTTCCAATACAAGTAGGGAAAAGACAGGGTATGAAATGTCACATGGGGTGTGCTTTCAGTCATGTGGGTGGAACAGAGCTTTGCAGGAGGATGCCGTGGGGGCCACGAGTGACTCCCCCTCACCCCCCTCTGTTTGTCGAGGGGCCCTGATAACCCTCGCCAAGTCCGATGGGCCTGGGGCTGCCCTTCATGTGGTGGGTTCACGAGAGGCCGCCATAAGACAAAGGTGGACTTAAGTGGGGTCAGTAAAGGGGTGGGACGTTGGCAGGGCAATTGAGGGAAGACAGTAAGACAGGAAGTGACGTGTGTGTGCAGGGGACCCCGCAGGGCAGACCCGACGGGAAGGCCAGGGCACCAAAGAGAAGGAGGAGACCTGGGCCCCTGGGCCATAGTTGTGTCCTGAGCACCCACCTCACCTGGGGCTTTCTCCAAGAACCTGCTCTGACAGACCCTCTTTTTAAGAGGCACTTCAGCCTTAGTGGCTCAGATGTAAAGGATCCACCTGCGATGCAGGAGACCCAAGTTTGGTCCCTGTTTTGGGAAGATCCCCTGGAGGAAGGCATGGCAGCCCACTCCAGTATTCTTGCCTGGAGAGTCCCCGTGGACCTACAGTCCATGGGTCACAGAGAGGCAGACGTCACTGAATGACTAAGCACAGCACAGCACAATCCCAATTTTTATTCTGCAGGTCACTGCTCTCTTGCCAGCCGGCCTCTATAAGCAGCACTCACTGAGCAGAGTACCTTCTTATTAAAAAAAAAAATCACTTTACAAAGAATTCTGAATGGAGTATATGCCTGTTGGGGGAAAAAGTCAGATAACAAAGTTGTACGTGAAGTCTGACCACTGCACACAGCTGTGTATGTACATGTGTCATCGTGGCTTTTAATACATGCCTGGTCACGTCCTGCCTCACCTTTGCATCCTGCCTTTTTACCTGGCCCTTCCTCACCTGGTTCATAGGCTCCACCACTCCCTCTGTGATCTGGGGCTGCTCCGAGGGCCTGGTGTCCACTTAGTGATTGGGTGGCCTTGGGCATGCCCCTGGGCCTGTCTCCTCACCATCTGCAGTGGGGATGACCACTGCGCTGACCCGCTGGCCTGGTTGAACTGGACCCTGACTATCAAGCCCCAGGTGGGCCCCTAAGAGCTGGCATTACCTGGAGAAGTCAGGTGTTTCCTGATTAACAGATGTGTGGGTTGCATTTTACAACTTTTATCTCACAATGTTTGACAGCTGACACAGCTCAGATCATTTTCCTTGGGAATGAGCAAATACTATGTGGCTGTTCATGGCCTTCCCCTCTATATAGAAGTGTAAACCACACCTGCTTTACACCTGCTTGCTTTACCCGCTGGGAACTGTTTGTTTCCAGGTCACCTTGCCAGCCATGTTTAAGCCTGGCTCTGTGTTCACATGGTTTATGCAAGAATGCCCCAGAAAGACAGGTCAGTGGTTAGTAAGAGACGTTGAGAAAGAACTTCTTTCTTGTTTGTATCCAAAAATTCCTTCTTTGCTGAGAACTTCTGAGTCTGTTTTGATCCCAATTATGAACACTTGGGCTTCCCAGGTAGTGCTAGTGGTAAAGAGCCTGCCTGCCAAATGCAGAAGGTGTAAGAGACCAGGGTTTGATCCCTGGATGGGGAAGATTCCCTGGAGGACAGCTTGGCAACCCACTCCGGTATTTTTACCTGGAGAATCCCATGGACAGAGGATCCTGGCAGGCTGCAGTCCATGGGGTTGAAGAGTCAAGACATTGCAGTGACTGAGCACGCACACATGAACACTTACGCCTTAAAATTTTTATTGTTGTCTTACTGTTTACCGTGATCCTGATTGGGCTGTTTTAATGTAAAGTATGAATATTTCTATCTTTTTAATAAATATGCCCGCTTACTCGCAGCTGCCTCAAAGAATCCCGCCTTTAGGTTGAGCACAAATGCCTTCCTTACCAGTAACGCATTCTGACTCCTCTACGTTGTAAAACTCGCTACCCTTGGATTTGCAAGTTTCAGGTGCGGTTGGCGGTAAGGAGCCTGTAAGGCATGGGCTCCTTTGCCCCCATCACCCGGGCTCCGTCTCCAAGTGGCAGGTGGCGCTAGTGCGTCATGGACAAGAGACCCTGCCGGCTCCTTGGACCCACCCGTGGGCAGCCCTGACCTCCGCTGGCTGGGCGTGCCCCTGGCGGGTGGCGGAGGTTGGAAGGGACCGGGGCTCCCGCGTGCGGTGTTCACTGACTCTGACTCTCGCGGGCCTGGGTTTCAGGAGTGCGGCGGGTGAAGAGGGAAGACGTGGAGGCTGGTGGCGGCGAGAACCTGGTGCGCTACAGGAAGGAGCCGTCTGGATGCCCGGTGTGCGGCAAGGTAATACGGGTCGGTGCGGGACCCAGCTCACCTTTTTCTATGGGAAACCTCAGAGCTCTACCCACTGCACGCAGGGACGGGGTGGGGGTGAAGGTTTAGGATCGAGTGGATACTCGGGTGTTCTGAGCCACGGGGTCCCCTCACTCGGTGCTCTGGTCATCTGCTCTGTTGCCGTCAAGTTGGGTCTCCAGTGAAGGAGCTCAGCCTTATCTCCGCTTGGCCACGATTTGCCACCGATGTCACCAGAGTGCGCATGTTCCATCTCCAGTGCCCGGAGCTGGGTGCATGTGGTGGAAGGGGTAGACGTTCTTGGTTTACCTCTTGGTCAGTGGTGATCCTCCCGCACTATTTCCAAGTGAGACACTGACCCAGCCACGGCCACACACGCCATGCACCTCCATGGATGCTGGTGCCCCAAGTAAGCAAATCAATGCTGAGGTGTCTGAGCTGGCCATCAGAGAGGCCCGACTGCTCGGCATACCCTAAACTTCCAGAGTTCACTGACCATCTGAACAGCCCCGGGCCACGTCCAGCAGGGGTATTGATCAGCCCTGTGTGGGGAACCCTGTCCAGGTGCTGCCGTCCAGGCCGTGTCAGCTTACCACGGGAAATGGTGGTGGTCATTGCGCATGCGCCCCTTGCAGTTGCTCCATCCTTAGACTTGCCTCCCACCACTCAGGAGGCCCAGGCTCTCAGTCCCACAAGCCCATGGGAGCCACGTAGCCGTGGAGTGTTGGTGCACCCTCGGCAGACGCCAGGTCCAGACGGTGGAAAAGTGAAACCCCAGGCTGCCGGCCAGCTGTGATCTAGCCCAGCCTGCTGGCACGTGGCCACATTGCCAGATCTTTTGACCTTTTCAAGAGAAAACGGAAATTCATGTTTTTATGGGAAATTTCCTGATTTTTTTTTTTAAACCACAAAACAAACAAGTCAGCTGGGTGGTGTGGCCCATGGACCCACGGTGCAGGCCCTGACTCAGTGTGGGTTTAGAGGCTGAAGGGGCAGAGGGAGCTGGTGCATCAGAATGCACACCTGAGCCCAGGTGTCCAGGCAGGGGTGGGTGAGGCTGCCCTGTGTCCACATATCCTGCTCATCCTGCCCACCGACCACTAGCTCTAAGGAGTGACAACACCATGTCCCTCCCGTGTCCTTGGGAGACCCTGTGCATGAACCAGCTAGCTATGTGACTCACACTCAGACACGTTTTATTCTGTGAGATATTCACTGAACGTTTACAGAGGGATGCTGGCAACAAAGGAGGCTGAATGTCTCCAGAACTGACTTCTTCACTGCCTCCAACTATACCTTGTCTCCAGCCCTGTCTGCCTGGAGAAGACAGGTGCTGGGGGATACCCAGGGCCTCTGTCCCTCCCCAGAGGTGCCCATCTTCCTGCTCTGCTGACTCGACTTCCCGCCCGGCCTCCCTGGGCTGTGTGGTCTCAGGTCTGTCGGCCCCAAGTCGCCTGCAGATCTTGAAAGGAAGTGTCCCTCGAAAACATTTGCCTCCGAACCGTTTTCCCTTTCATTCAGGTTTTGGTCTCTTTCTGAGAACATAGGTGATCTCTAAGGAGACCTACTCCTCTGGTTACTTGACCATTAGGGGGAAAGCGATGTGGCCAGAGACTTTGGATCAGTGGGGTCGTGGGGGTTAGTCTCTGCAGCCACATCTGGATTAGTATTGATCAGGTGAATGGCTGAGTCCCTACCCTCATCACTTTAGACAGGAAATACTGAGAAATTGAGGGAGGTGATAATAATTATGCATGAAATAGGGAACACAAACTGTAACTCTCTGATACTCACTTTGAGAAAACTGCAGCTGTTTGTGTGACTTACTCTCTTTGGTAGGCCCCATTCCAGTGAAATATTTGAGTAAAATTGTGAGCAGAGTAGTTTATGGTGAAGACTAGAGAATGGTTAGTTCTGTATTATAATGTAAGCACCAGTTTAAACGGTTAAACGACCATGATTGCAGCACCACGCGATTATTTCTCTCGAACACTGAGGATCTGTTGCAACTTATATTTTGGGAGAAAACTACTGCCTTTTTGTGCCCGATTATGTTCTCTCATTGAGGCCTTAGTCACTGAGTGGTAACAGGTGTGTGGTAACAGGTGCGTGGTAACAGGCATCTCCGCCCCCGCTCTCCTGCCCGCAGGTGTTCTCCTGCAGGAGCAACATGAACAAGCACCTGCTGACCCACGGCGACAAGAAGTACACCTGTGAGATCTGCGGGCGCAAGTTCTTCCGTGTGGACGTGCTCAGGGACCACATCCACGTCCACTTCAAGGTGAGTCCTGCGCCTGGTGCAGCAGCGGGGCGCGCGGGGAGGCGGGGCGCGCGGGGAGGCGGGGCGCGCGGGGAGGCGGGGCTGGCCCTTGGGGTCTGGGGGATCTTGTTGCTGCTCTCCAGGTGAGCTCTCTTGAGTGAGTGCTGTGTTTCACACCCACGTGAAGGGTTCACGTTAAAAACCCTCCGCGCCAGGTACCTCCTGGGAGAAGATCAGGGGTCAGGTCAGGGGCTTTTGCTTCCCTCCCTACCTTTGAGGAACGTGAGATGAGAGCATGCCAGTGTGCAGGGTAGTGAGGATTCGGGGTCGCTCTGGCAGTAGAAGTGCCGATCCAGGAAAAAGGAAAGAGTGGTAGGTGCCCACGTGAGGATGGAGAACACGCCCTCCAGGCGCCATCTGGCTGAGGGACTGTTCTTGGGAGCTCCAGCCCTGGCGTGCAGTTGTCTGAACACACGCAGGAGCTGATGGCGCCATCGTCAGGGGGTGGGGTGTACCAAGTGACCCGAGGACAGTTTCTGCACCTAGTGTACAGGTCACCGGTTAAAGCTTCTGCCGAACAGGTTAGAAGCAGAACATGGTGATTGTCTTCCAGGACATCGCGCTGATGGATGACCACCAGAGAGAGGAGTTTATTGGCAAGATTGGGATCTCGTCAGAAGAAAACGATGACCATTCAGACGAGAGCGCAGACTCAGAGCCTCACAAGTACAGCTGCAAAAGGTGTCAGGTAACTGGACCACGGCTGCCAGGTGCATGGGGTAGCGGAGGTGCTGGCCCACAGAGGCTCAGGCATGGGTGGGGGCCCTCCCAGACATCCTGGAGGGCGCCCCAGGGCTCATTGCTTCTCAGGGATGATGGTTGTGGGTCTTATCACCATCACAGGGACCACCGTCTCAGAACCAGTCTGGTCCATACGTGCCTGTGTGTCTGACCAGCGTGGACCTGTGCGCCGGGGCTTCTCTCCTTGGCTGTGCCCTCCCACACAGCAGAGGGCCTTGCTTAGAGGCTGGGGGGAGTGAAGGGGGGGGCGTGGGGAGCTTTCCATATTCAACAATTGGTAGACCCTGTGGTTTCACAAAGTAGGTCCCTGTGTTCTTCCGGGGCACCGGTACCTGTGTGCTGGGCACCCGCACCTGGCCCTGCACTTGTCAGGACCTTTGGACATGGGGGAGAGATGGGGTCGGTTGAGTGTAGAGGAGAGGAGTTCTAGAAGCTGCTTTGGGGGGTGGGGGATGGGACCTGCTGTGAGAGTTATGGGAGGACCTGGGGTCCGCCTCTTACGGCCCCCCCTGCTTCGCGGTTTTGCCGGGCACTGGCCCTGCCCCTTGGAGTTCCGCTCTACTGCGTGGAGGCTGGTTCTCCCCCTGTGCCCAGGGCACCTGCGTGGAGGCTGCGCCTCGTTAGCGTGCGCAGGTAAACAGCGTGTGCGTCCACAGCTCACCTTCGGCCGCGGGAAGGAGTACCTGAAGCACATCATGGAGGTGCACAAGGAGAAGGGCTATGGCTGCAGCATCTGCCACCGGCGCTTCGCCCTGAAGGCCACCTACCACGCCCACATGGTCATCCACCGTGAGAACCTGCCCGACCCCAACGTGCAGAAGTGAGGATCCCGGGACTCTGGGGTGGTGGAGAGGGAGGGCTGGTTTCCCACAGAGGGGTGGTGAGCGCAGAGCAAACTGTCTCCTCGGAGAGCCCTGGGCCTGCCTGGGGGATGCGGTGGCCTTGCTCCTTGCTTCATCATCAGGTCGCACAGTCTCTGGGACCCACAGTAGTGGGCAGCATTGCAGACCTGCCTACATAGGACCAGAGACCCTTTTCCCCAGAGTAATTAGGTTTTGTGAACATCAGCTCCCCCATCTGGCTGCAGCCAGTAATCAATACTGCGTGTCTGGGTGAAATCAGGCTACAGCCTTGTTTAGAGCCGAGTCCTCCATTGGGGCCTCGACCTGGTGGGCTGTACAACAGCGATGTGTTATGTCAATGCTGAGGCTGGAGCTCTGGGTCCCCCTGTGGCCATGAGAGAGCGTCAGTCCCACTTCTGTCCTTGGCATCAGTGTGTGTCCTTGTGGATTTCCCTCTGCGCGTGTCTCTGTGTCCCTGTTTGAAAGAACCCCAGTTACTGGGTTAGGGCCCGTCCAGTGACCTCATCTTTAATTTGAGGACCTCTACAGAGACCCCCATCTACAGGCTCAGCCACGTTCTGAGGTGCAGAGAGTCAGGATGCCAGCATGTGAACTTCAAGGGGGACAACTCAGCTCAGATGGAGGCTAAAGTCTTGGGCCCCTTGTCACCCCCATAGCACCTTTTTTTTTCTACCCCACCTGCTGATAAAGGTGCTTATGCAAGTGTACTCTGTGCTGGTCCGCCAAGGCTGTGTGCCGTCCTGAGCCTGTGTCTGCTTTCAGGTACATCCACCCCTGTGAAATCTGCGGGCGGATCTTCAACAGCATCGGGAACCTGGAGAGGCACAAACTGATCCACACAGGTAGCCAGGCCTGGGAGGACGCGGTGCCAAGCGGGCCAGGCCCCTCTGCGTGCTTCCTGCCCCAGGGGGTCATCCTCGTCTCCTGACTGGTTCTTCTCCATCCATACTTGCTGCTCCTCCCAGCTCAGCCCCTCCTTGCCCAGTCCCCCTCTGGGTCCTCACAGAGGCTGAGGAAGGAGGGCTCAGGGGCCAGGGCTCCAGCTGCAAGGGGTGGGTGGGGTTGGGGATGTGGGGTGTGCTGCTTTCTGGTGCTGCCCTCACACAGTGACCTTGGGTCAGGATTCCCTGCGGTGACAGCCTGCCCTGTTTGCTTGTAGGTGTGAAAAGCCATGCCTGTGAGCAGTGTGGGAAGTCCTTTGCCAGGAAGGACATGCTGAAGGAGCACATGCGTGTCCATGACAACATCCGGGAATACCTGTGCGCAGAGTGTGGGAAAGGTGAGGGCAGCTGGGGGCCTGGCCATCATCCAGAAGGGGCAGCAGGCCAAGTGGGAGTTTGGGGGTCGCCCAGACCTGAGTCATCTACTCAAGAAAGATAAGACCCAGAGAATTTAACTGCGGGTCAAGAAGACAAATGAGTCCAAAGGCGGGGCATAAAACCAAGGTATAGATTAAGCTGTTCTAAGAGCAGGGAGATAGTGCAGCATGACTGTGTGATGTATAGAACATCCTCAGAATCACCATGTGGCCTCAGTGGAGGTGCAGAACCCTCAGCTGCTTACAAGGACCAGCTGTGTATTCAGATAGACTTTCTGTGGCTGGTGATGACGGTGACCTTTATTTTAATCAGGTGAAATTAGTTAAATGAACCTGTTAGTAAAATAGCTCATATCGCTAAGTATAATCAGAAAGAGGTAATCCCAGTCCATTGTAAAATTTTAACCCATTTCTGTTTTAAACCAAAACTGAGGAAGGCTTGGAGCTATGGATCTTTGGTGGCTTCAAGCAGCTGCCAGTGCTGTGTGTGCTGGAAGAGCGGCAGGGCCACCCTCCTTCAGATACAGGACAAATCAAATTTGTCTTGATTTAAAAGTTTGTCTTGATGCCATTAGCATCTTTTAAAAATTTAATATTTCATGAAGTTTTTGTTTTTCCTTGATTTTTAAAATTAAACAGGAAAGTGTAAAGCAAACACAAATGTCCCACAATTCTACTCACTGGATCAACCCCTATTTTAGCCTCGTAAAATAAAGTTACATGTAGAAGACTAAAAGAGTTAAGCAGAGAAGGGCAGAAAGTGAGAAGTTCCTCACCCCCAGTGGCCCCAGTCCCCCTCCCCCGAGGCGACAGTTTCTTGTCTGTTCTCCAGAGTAACTGTGTGCAGCAGTGTAGATTGTTCTATTGAAAAAGTAACACAAGCACCTAACCAAAAAAAAAATTTATTTTTAAATAACCAGAATGGTTATGCAAAATAGTTTTTCCCACCTCAGACCTCAGTTTCGTGCATCGAAAGCAGCATGTAAATATTGCACACAGACATTTCTAGAAGTTTCTACTGGCCATAGTGGGTGGAGCCCCAGCCCCAGCCCCATTCCCACCAGGCTGGAGCTGCAGAGAGGAGCTGGGGAGGGCTGGAGGGGACAGGTGTGGTGGGCTCTACCCCTAGGTGGGCAGGGCCCACCACACCTGAACCCTGAGTACTGCTCATGAGTACTGCTCACTGGGCCTGGCCGGATGGGGAGGGGTGCCTGGGGGCAGATACTGGGGCTGGGCATGGGTATGGGGAGGGCGGGTCTGGGGGCGGGGCATGGGCCCTGGGGGCGGGGTTGAGCTGGGTGTGGGGCCGGTGTGGGGGGTGTGGCTAACCCGCTCTGTCCCGCAGGCATGAAGACCAAGCACGCGCTGCGCCACCACATGAAGCTGCACAAGGGCATCAAGGAGTACGAATGCAGGGAGTGCCACCGCAAGTTCGCGCAGAAGGTCAACATGCTGAAGCACTACAAGCGGCACACGGGTGAGTCCGCGGTGCTCTGGCGTAGAGGGACCAGCCCGCTGGTGAGAAACCGCTCGAGCAGAGCCGCCGCTGCTTCGCAGGGTCTTTAGATCCCAGCAGGCCCCAGGCTCTCTGGTCGAGCTTTAGGAAGCTGGATAACTAACCGGTTTCCCAGAAGCTCCCCCATCCCTGCAACAAGCCCCCTGTGTCCCCCCAAACACACCGGGTCCTAGTTACCGCCCTCAATGCCTTCAGTGCCCTTCCCTCCCACTCAGCCCGGAGAAACCACCAGACAAAGACCTGTCGTGTGTGTACCTTGATCATCATGTCATCTGGACAGGAAACTGGACCACGTTAAGTGTCTATCAGGGCAGAGGCTGAATTGTGGTGTGTCCCCCTTAAAGGACAGTGCATCCTTCAAGTGATGAGATATGCACGTTAACTTGCATCGAAGTTTGTGAGCTCATTTCTTATAAACGGTTGTCTGTGGGTAAACATGTGTGTAAGACGGAATCAGATCTACAGCAGAATGAGAAACGGTCCTCCCTGAGTGGTGGAGCTGTGTGTGAAGTTTCTAGCAGGAGCATCTGGGTGGTTCATATCCTCTCTAAAATGGATTTGAGTCTTTCCACTGCCTGGCCCAGCTTACCTGTATGCCCACCTCTCTCGCTGCCCCCAGGGCTGGCCAGGGCACCCCTCAGGTCCGCTTTGGGTCCCCCTGGAGTGCCAGCCCCCAGGGCCCTGGGCTTTCACAAAAGCATGCCGTTCTCCTTTTCCTGGGGAAGTCCCTCCGTTTCTTGCTTCCCCTTTTCGGGGAAGCACTCACCTCCTGGGACTGGGTCCTGCACCTCCTTGGGGGTCTCGCAACTCTCCACCTACTGGGGTGCAGTGGCCTCTGTCCCTCTCACTTCCAGGAGCCACATGAACGTAGGGTTCCGAGTACCAGGGACCTAGCAGATAGGTCCCTATCTTATCTTGGACCAAGATAAGCAGACCTTGAAAGTCACTTGCCTTGCTTGACATTTAGGGCAAATGTTTATTTAAGAGGCAGAGGGCCTACCTTCTTGTCAGCTCGGGGAGTGCGACAGTCTGATGGCTCAATGCTTCCGTATTACCAGGTTGCAGGCAGGCAGGGTGACCACCCCAGACCGACTCACTGATCTGAACACTCAGACACCTGCAGTAGGATGATTTTCAAGCCACAGTTTGCCGGTTGAGTAGGGGAATAAAGGCATACTGCCTGTTGTCTCCGGGTAACTTACCAGCTCCCATAGTCTTTACAAATACAGAAATGTGTCATGGACAAGACCGGTGCTGTGTACAGTTAAAACGCTCATGAATCGTGAAATTAAATGTGCCTTTTCCTGCAGGGATTAAAGATTTCATGTGCGAACTGTGCGGAAAAACGTTCAGTGAGAGAAACACGATGGAGACGCACAAGCTCATCCACACGGGTATGTCGGGGGCGCCTGGGGACCGGCCGGCCAGCCACTGTGGTCTCTGCTGGGGCCATCTGGGTGTGCGGGGTGTGGAGAGCTTGGCTGTGAGGCTCTATGTGGACTTTTTCAGAATATCTGGCACTATTGTGCCTTAACCGTGGCCCTTTGCCCCCTAAAATTCAGCCACAAAACCTTCAAATATTCATGCTCGCGTTGTCAGACGTTGATTGAAGCATTCCTGGGTGGGAGGAGGGTCTTTCCGAGGCCTGGCCTCGGGGTGGGTGGGTGACTGGGTCTGAGACCTAGAGGCTGCCCCCTCACCACCCACGCCGGTCTCTCCCTCCCTGTGCACGCGGGCAGTGGGCAAGCAGTGGACGTGCTCCGTGTGCGACAAGAAGTATGTCACCGAGTACATGCTACAGAAGCACGTGCAGCTCACTCACGACAAGGTGGAGGCGCAGAGCTGCCAGCTGTGCGGGACCAAGGTGTCCACCAGGGCCTCCATGAGCAGGCACATGCGGCGCAAGCACCCCGAGGTGAGCATGCGCGGGGCGGGGCCGCCCTCTCCCGCACCCTCCCCTGTGCGGCCTGCCGGCTTCCCCCGCTCCGAGACCCCACTGTGCAGGGTCCCCACCCGTGGGATTCCTGGAGGCAGGGCCTGGGTCCAACGCTGCCCTCTGCCTGCAGGTAGAAGGCACCGAATGAATGAGTGAGTACAAGAGCCCCAAATGGGTGTTTTACTGAAGTAATCAACTGCACTCTCCCTGGAATTACAGCGGGACAGGGGTGCCACCCTCCCTCTCCCCCGTTCCTCCCTTTAGAGTAGCTAAAAAATGTGCAGAACCCGGGGCTCTGCGTGGTGTTGGGGGCTGCTCAGAAAGTGGCCCTGAGGACTGAGACAGAGGAAGTATATCGTGGAAGGTAGGTAGACCCTGACACCCAGAACCTGGTGCTAAAGGCAGGTCCAGGGCATTGAATAAGTCATTGTGTTTGAAAAAGCAGTAAACTGAAAACAAAACTAGACGCTTTATAAGCACAAAAGCAGTGAAAATTTTGAACAATTTGACATAACATTTAGAGTTTCTGGGGGTCAAGAGAACACGCAAAGGGAAAACTGAAAAATGTGTCAGTATCATTAACAGATACTAGCTGTTAATAGTAAAGATAGCATGCCTTCCACGAGAATAACAGAGAACCCACTGTGTCCGAGGAGAGGAGATTCACAAAAGGAAATACATGTGGTTGAGACACGAGAGAAAGCCTTTAACAGAAGAAGGTGCCATCCTTCCTCCATTGAATTAGGGGAGGTTCTGGGATTCAAAATGACTGGAATTGCACCCAATTCCAGGACATGCACCATTGCATGTCCTCCTGAGGGTAGTGTGATCATCTCCCCAGTGTTTTAATAATGACTATTTGGACCCCTGAGTGTCCAGTAAGAGGAATGCCACTACGTTAGTGGTAGTTCAGTGATATGCGTGATTGTAATGTGTTTGCAGACAGTTCTGAGTAAGATTGTGAATGCTCATCGTAAGAAAGCAGTGACACCTTGCATAGACTACAGGTGTACCCACAGCGTGTCATTCACATTGTGTATTTACAGGATACTCAACTGTGTAACAAGGTGGTAAAACAAAGGGTGAAAGCATTGCACTGTGGTCTGGCACTGAAGTTTTGGTTATTTCTTATCTTTATGTTTTTCTCTATTTCAAATAATTACCTCTGATGAACATGGGTTACTTTTGCAATTATAAAAGCACCGTCTGCTTCATTTGGCTGAGAAGTGTGTCTTCTCCCATCACCTCGTTCTGTCCTCCACAGCCTGCGCAGGTCCCTGGCCCGTGGACCCCAGGCTCTTTCCGCTTAGCACGAGGAGCTGGGCTTCCACCAGCTTTGCTCCCCTCACTCCAGCCTCTTTCGCCTCGTGGCCTGCTAGCGTCTCCACCTACAGAAACAAAGTCGGGAGCAGGAGCCGGACGTGTCAGCATCCATTCGGCTGCCCAGTGTCAGTGGGGCCGCCTGGGTCTTGGGGTCCAGGGCAGGTGCTGCAGGCTCCCCCGGGGGCTCGTGGTGGGTGGGAGCGAGTGACTTCTTGGCACGTGGGTGTCTGTAGCTCCATGCACTAACTGTGCGCGGTGGGTTTTGCCCATGGCCTCTGTGATGCGTGCTGCTGGGTGCAGGGGCCTTGCGGACACGGAGCGGCTCGGCAGACGTTTTCCTCTGGTTAACGATCACTTGCCTCATCAGTCCATCTGCACAGCCACCTCTTGGCCCCTCTTCCTCTCAAACCCACCTTGCTGGGCTGCAGAGTGCTCTGGAGGGGCCCCCAGCAGGCTCGGGCTCCTCTGTCCGGGCTCTGTTCTCAGTCCATTCTGTCTTGGGCACTTTTAGCCTCTCTCCCCTGGGCTGCTTTCCTTGGATCCTTTGATGTTTCTGTGTTGTTCCCTTCTATGTGTTCAGACAAATAGTTTAGTGCCTGCAGGGATGAGCGCTGGTGACCGGCTGGACCGGGTGTGCCCCGTCCTCTTGGACCTGACAATCTAGGGTGGTAGATGGAAGGAGAAGAAGGATGCAGACACGTCACACACAGGCGAGCAGAGGGAATGGAGGAAACGTCCCCAGACTGCAGGAGTGAGGCAGGGGAGGCTCTGCTGCAGTGGGGGCACCGCCCGCGGCCAGGCTGTGCAGATGTGCGGGGCACAGACTCAGGCGTGGGGGTCTGGTGAAGGCTGGCCAACCTAAGTGAACACCTTAGGGTATATGTTAGGGTGTTAAGCATAAACTGCTCTCACATATTCAGGATCTTTCAGAATTGATGCTATTTTGTGACTTCCACTTACGGTCTTTCCCTTTGCTTTGAATGAATGTCACATTGAGGAAAATACAAGCACTAAAAGTACTTTTCACGTGTGGTCTAATCTCCAATGAGAGTAAAGTCAACAAGTGCTTCTGTGGTTGTTCTCTGTGGCTTCTGGATGGTGTGACTAGGACGCTGATGATGTCGTCGGTGGTGATGGAGGTGGTGGTGGCAGTGATGGGGTGGTGATGGGGACGGAGGGGGTCGTGGTGACAGCGGAGGTGGTGTGGTGGGAGAGAACCGTCAGTAGCCTCCCGCTGCTCTGACTCAGCTTTGCAGCCCCAGTCACACTTGGGTTCTCGCCACCACATCAGTGTTTCTGTTGAAGCACACATGACCGCCTCCCTGACCATCCTCTCAGAGGTATGTGCTGTCCTGGTCTTGGATCCTAAGCCCAGAAATACAGTGGTCTGACGTCTTTCTTAAATAAGCCACACCCATGATATATAGCCTATAGTTTTGCTCTTTATTAATTTTGGAACAAAAATGGAAAGATGCTTGTAAAGCCATTTGATGGCAGAGCTGTCTGGACAGACTTCTGTGCTAGTGTGTCTGGCCCCACCTGCCCTGGGCTGGCCTTCAGGCGCCGTGTCCTGGGCTCACGGCCCTGCGCCCACTCCTAGGTCCTGGCTGTGAGGATTGATGACCTGGACCACCTCCCAGAGACCACCACCATCGACGCCTCCTCCATTGGCATTGTCCAGGTGAGCACAGAGCACGCGGGGTGGGGCATCTCACTGGAGGAGCCCAGCAGATATCAGGAGCAGCCCTGGGGGAAACCCCCATGTGTCGCACTCATTTCCCTGTTTTGCTCATTGGTCGTCACCCCAGGAGCCTTCTAGTTTTTGTGAACATTTCTAGAATTTCAGTTTTCTGAAACAGATGTGTGTCTTTTTAGAGGATAGATTATTAGCGTTCCCGAGAGAAAACAGTAAAGTGTGTGTGCGCGCACGTGCATGCATGTACAGAGAGAATTAGATTTATTTTAAGGAGTTGGCTCACTCAGTTGTGGGTCTGGCAGGTCCAGAATCTGCCAGGAGGGCCGGAGGCTGGACACCCAGGAGGAGCTGATGCTGGAGGCAGAATTCCTTCTTCCTCTGGGAACTTTGTCAGCTCTCAAGGTCTTCACCTGATTGCTCCAGGCCCACCTGCATTTCAGAAGGTGCTGTTTTACTCAGCACCTACTGGCTTCAGTGTTAATCACATCTGGAAAACACCTTCAGGACAGCATCTGGACTGGTGTTTTGACCACACAACTGGGCGCCCCAACCTAGCAAAGATGACACTTTAGTTAAACATCACAAGTGTCATCCAGAAGAGCTTAGTGTGATTAGACTGTTACAAGCAAAATTAACCTTAAATGTATTAGATGAACTTACTTTCAAAAGGAATTTATAGTCAGTACCTTTATACAAAGGTTTTCTCTTATTCTGAAGGGAACATTTCATGCTCAGTTACTTTCAAATCGCCTTCGCCCCTCTCTTGTTTTGCAGCAGAGCTTTGAGCGCAGTGCTCAGTGGCTGGGTTGCACTGGACAGCCAGGCCCCAGAGGCCCAGGACCACGTCCACCCCTGACATGGGCAGCCCCTCGTGGCCATGTCCTGGCAGACCTCCTTGGGGTCTGTCTGCCACTGGGTGGGACCACACCTCATGGGTATGGCACCAAGGACAGGAGTGGTGGTGGGTGACCAGGGCGGAGAGCCTTGCGGGCCACCACTGCCCAGCGGCTTCTGTGATCCTGGGCTGGGCCAGCTGTGGGTCAGCAGGAGGGAAAGAAGTATGCCAGGCACCCATCTGGGGTCACCATTACTGCTGGGCCCTTATTTGCTGTCCCTAAGAACCATGACCACACGGTTCTTGCAGTCAGACTCATCCTTGACCCAAAATTATGTCCATAGTGCACCTGGAGCAGAGAGCCCAACGTGAAAGCCTTTGTAGCCTCAGGCAGAGCTCAACAGGGCTGAAACAGGGGCTCACAATCTCTGTATTTAGAGATATTTCTATTTCAGTACAAAGTATGACTTGTATCCAACTTCCCTCACTTTAAAGCAAAGCAGCGGAGACCGGCTGGAACTTGCTGCCATCCTTAGACGTGCACATTAGCAGATGGACCTGGTCACCCGGTGTCTGGGGGTGGTGCCAGGCCGCCCCAGGGGCATGACACGCTGACCTGTCATTGTCTCACCTTCTGCTCGCGCAGCCTGAGCTGAGTCTGGAGCAGGAGGAGCTGGCCGAAGGGAAGCACGTGAAAACCACCAGGAGAGCTCCCAAGAGGAAGCAGAAGCCGGAGGAGGAGGCGGGGGCCACGGCGCCGGAGGACACCGCCTTCAGCGAGTTCTCAGACAAGGAGGGCACATTCTCGGGGGCTGTCGGGGATGAGACGGACTCGGCCGTGCAGAGCATCCAACAGGTGATGCTTGTGCAGAGTCGGGCCCGGGTTTGGGAGGCCGGCTTGTGACCCTTTTCCCAATGGGGACTTGGACCCTGACCGCCGTCAGCCTGTACCCTGTTTCCCAGTGCAGACCCAGAGGTCACTGCCATCGTGGTGAAAAGCAGTCGTACCCCCGTGGTTGGGAACTGGCTGGGGCCATTTTGGGGACGTTCTCAGGGGGGTCGTGTGTCCAGCTGCTGCTTTTAGCCAGAACTTCCGCTTTGCCGACCCGTCCCTGTTTGGGTTTCAAGGCCCCCAGCTCTCTGTCAGCATGTGTTGGACGCCGCACCTCTCTTGAGTGGCCCTGGTCATCCTGGTTGCAAGTGTTTCTGTGTTTCTCTGGCCTTTTGTCCCTTTTCGTGTGGGGAGAGCGGTGCTGTCTTTTTTATTAGCTCTTGGCACCGCACACGGGTGTGTTGTCCTTCTGAGCTTTGCAGTGTGTTAAGAGACAACAAAGAATATTCTCTCTGTTGTTCTCGTGATTGTTGTTGTTCAGTTGTTGAGTCATGTCTGACTCTTTGCAACCTCATGGATGGCAGCACGACAGGCTTCCCTGTCCTTCACCATCTCCCAGAGTTTGCTCAAACTCAGGTCCATTGAGTCAGTGATGCCATCCAACCATCTCATTCTCTGTCTTCCCCTTTTCCACCTGCCCTCAATCTTTCCCAGCATCAGGGTCTTTTCCAATGAGTCAGCTCTTCACATCAGATGGCCAAAATATTGAAGCCTTGGCTTTAGCATCAGTCCTTCAGTGACTAGTTAGGGTTGATTTCCTTTAGGATTGACTGGTTTGATTTTGCAGTCCAACGAACTCTCAAGAGTCTTCTCAAACACCGCAATTCAAAAGCATCAATTCTTCAGCACTTAGCCTTCTTTATCATCCAACTCTCACATCCGTACATGACTACTGGAAAAACCATAGCTTTGACTAGATGGACCTTTGTTGGCAAAGTGATGTCTCTGCTTTTTAACATGCTGTCTAGGTTTGTCATGGCTTTACTTCCAAGGAGCAAACATCTTTTAATTTCACGGCTGCAGTCACCATCTGCAGTGATTTTGGAGCCCAAGAAAATAAAATCTGTCACTGCTTCCAGTTTTTCTCCATCTATTTGCCATAAAGGGATGGGACCAGATACCATGATCTTAGTATTTTGAATGCTGAGTTTTACGCCAGCTTTTCCACTGTCCTCTTTCACCCTCATCAAGAGGCTCTTGAGTTCCTCTTCACTTTAGCTCCTCTCGTGATTACTGTTCTCTGTTTTTTTCTCAACACTGAAATCATTTATTGCTCAGTTCCAGCTAATGGTCTCAATGATTACATCTGTATCTTGTTTCTCTTTTTCCCTGGAATTCTTTTTCCAGGAAAAACTAGCNCAGCCCCCGGTGCCGGCTGAGCAGCAGCCTCAGATGTACAGTTACTGAGGCCGCTTGCAGAGACCAGGGGGAGAACCACGGATGGGGGCTTGTTTCCATGTGAGATTTGTTGGCTGGATACCAAACAGAAAAACACACACATATTGCAATGTAAGTAAGGTTGACTTAGCTTTCGCAGAATTATCTCCAAATGCCCCCAGAACCATGGCAGTCTGTCAGCTGAACTCAGAAGTGACCCTGGGCAGGCCAGTTGTCCCCGGGAGCAGCCCCCCGCATTCTGCCAGGGGAGACAGGTCCCCTAGGCTTCCCTCCCAGAGCGGGAGGGACTCCAGGTTTGGCAAAGGGAAGTGGTTTGTTTCCTTTTTCTGATTAGGGCTCAGCTGCTGTGTTAAAATGTAGCAATGTGCTGGGCAGGAACAGAGTTTTCTCCCGGCTCCTGGACTTTGAACAGATCAGGTTCAAGTCACATTTATCTTCTTTGAAATTCCAGTTGAATCAAAGTCTAGTTGGCGGAAACCAGGTGGGAAGCTGCCCTGTGGGCGACGCCTCTCCTCTGGCCTTCCTGTTGGTCACAGGCAGGCGGTCGCATGAGGTCGCTCAGCAAGGCGTCTCAGCAATAGGGTTCGTGAATGAATGCATTTTCAGTATGGTTCTTTTTTTAAACTTTATCTCGAGCATATCTCGCGTGTTCGAAACTGCGGAGACCACATTCTTCTCTGTTTTCCTTTGACACGCAATGTCGTTTGCACTGTAGGCCTCAGTCCAGCTTGCATAGCTGCCCCAGCGCAGGGGTCGCTGTTGACGTGCATCGAGAGGGCCTCCCTCTGGCCCTCCTGGAGGCTCCCTGGAGCCGTCTCAGGACTCTGCCATCCAAACGTATTTATTGTGGCTGAGACTCGGCTAGAGTCCCCTGAACTGGAGAACAGGGAAGAAATACATGTCTTTTTTTCTGTTTAAACTCTTAATTCCAAAGGTTGATGTGTTTCAAGACCAGTTTTCTATAAAAATGTTGAATAGACTTTGCTCCTTACGGGGAAAGGGGTAGGTTTTTTCTGAAATATGGAGGTAGTGCTGTGTCCTGCCAAGTAGTATGAAAGCAGAAAAAGTCATTAGCTGAGCAGTAGAAGTATCAGCGCCCCGAATGAATGAATGAATGAATGAATGAATGAGCTGAGTGGCATCAGCTGTGTCACACGTGTGCACCCATCTCAGGGGTGGTGGGTGAGGCTCAGGGCCACTGAGGTGGCGGCCAGCAGCCAGTCCTCTGGCTGCCCAGCCAGGGAGACAAAGAGGCAGGCGGAGAAGCTTGAGTGAAAAAAAAAAAAATTTTAAAAAAGGCTTGAGTGATGCCTTTGCCCTGTCCAGAATGAAAAGATAACGCTTCCTTTGCTTTGTCTCGATCACTCTGGGATCCTGTGTTAGTTGGGAGACCTTCTTCAGTAAAGAGTAAATAAGTGAGACAGACTCACCTGATGCTGCCAGTGAAAGGCTGCGGGTGATCTGTCACGCAAAAGGCAGCGTTCTCAGCACTTCATGTAGTTCTAAGTCACAAGATGTTGAGGGGAGAGAGGGCTAGGTTTTGATGTGTGCAATACAGGCCTCTGTGAACCAAGTTCATCACCCATGCAGCATGTGAAAGGGACTGCAGATTTCACCCTCCACACCCAGCTCGTCCCTAACTCCCAGCTTGCACCTCTCCATTGAATTTGTCGTAGGCGATTATTTGACTTTTAATTTATGATAATTATTTTTATGTTATTTATGTATATAATTAATGCTTTATACATAATAGTTTCATCAAATGAACTTGGGCTAGGGGTGATATATTTTCTAAGCATTGTCTCTGTTCTCCAAATGTAAGTGGTCCAGGTGTCTGTGGAGTCATCAAGTGCGCCAAGGTCCCGAAGCTATTTTTTTAAACATCGCTGACCATTTCTTTTTGCATTTGCAGAAGATAAAGGACAAATGACCAAGGGAGAAAACCCAGATGTGATGGAACACCTGCTAGCATTTATCTTTTATTCCTCTTCCCTATGAAATAAAGGCCTTTTAAATCACAATTTTATTTTTTTAAGAAAAGTTGTTTTTGTGCCTAGAATAAGAATGCAGTGTATGTTTTTAAAGAACCTAATTTAGATTGTGTGGCCCCAGTGTACTTACCACTGTTTATTTAAATGCACAGATGTGTAATAATACTTCTTGTTATAATAAGCAAAAACTCGAAATAAAAATCAGATTTACTCCTGAGTTTTCTGTAGAAATATTTGTTCTAATAGGATCACTGTCTGAGGCAAAATAGATTTGTGCTGTCGTAAAACAGTTGCTATGAGTTTGCATATAAAAAACTGGGGAGCAAAAAAAAAACCTACTCAGCCCAAAGAGTCATCAGCTCTACACTGTTGTGCACATTTATCCCTGTTTCCTGGTAGAAAGGATTGAGTGTTTTAATTGATCCCACGTGCACAACTGTAGGAGGAAATGGGATGAAATCACTGTGGCCTCTGAGCTCTGTGAATCCCTCTGAGTTACACTAAATCAGTAAACAGAAGATGCTTGATCTAGGCCCGTGAACTTGTGAAGTTGTGTTGTTCCATGCCACCCAACGCTGTGAGCCTCGCAGAGCTGGCCCCCAGGGTCCACTGCCTGACGTCGACTGTGAAGGAAAGACGGTGGGGGATGTGTTCCCATGCTGGGTGCTGCTCCTCTGTGACCATGTGACCAAGGGTGACCCGTCCTGGAGGATTCCAGGCTCTGGAGGCAGATGTGTGGGCCTGATTGCCATGGCGCCCAGAGCTCATGGCTCCCAACTCAGGGCTGTGTGAGTCACTTTCCTGTTGGGTTTTGAAAGGTGCCAAGGCTGAGAAGTCACACGTCCTTCAAATCCCATCAATTTGTTCAAAGACAAGATTTGCCAGGAGCTGTGCTTTCCCATGGCTCACAGTCTGCTCAGATCACTCATCCTGAGTGGTGGACACACTTGGTATATTTTGAGAACGATTGTAATTCCTGTGTAGTTCAGACCCTGTGAAATGTTTGGATTATTTTAAATGACCCAAACATTGAAAATAAACAAGATATTAAAATATTAGAAGCTTTCACAGGGTTTTTTTTTGTTGTTTGTTTTAAGGAACAGAGCAGATGCAGAGGGCATGGGTTCAATCCCTGGCCAGAGAACTAAGATCCTGCATGTCTCACAGTATAGCCATCAATTTTTTGAAAAACAAAGCAAGTGGTAGCAATTTTTGTAAAGCTTAAATGGAGACATGTGTGTTAGTCACTTAGTCGAGACCCCATGGACTGTAGCCTGCCAGGCTCCTCTGTCCGTGGAGTTCTCTAGGCAAGAATACTGAATTGGGTTGCCATTCTCTTCTCCAGGGGATCTTCCCCACCCAGGGATCAAAGCTGGGTCTCCTGCATTGCAGGCAGATTCTTTACGGTCTGAGCCACCAGGGTAAGCCCTTAAATGGAGAGAATCAGACAGTTCAGTTCATTTGCTCAGTCATGTCCAACTCTTTGCGACCCCATGGACTGTAGCATGCTAGGCTTCCCTGTCCATCACCAACTCCCGGAGCTTGCTCAAACTCATATCCATTGAGTTGGTGATACCATCCAACCATCTCATCCTCTGTCACCCTCTTCTCCTCCTGCCTTCAGTCTTTCCCAGCGTCAGGGTCTTTTCCAGTGAGTAGGCTCTTCACATCAGGTGGCCAAAGTATTGGAGTTTCAGCATCAGTCCTTCCTGTGAATATTCAGGGTTTATTTCCTTTAGGATTGACTGGTTTTATCTCCTTGCCATTCA